TGGAATGGAGTTAGCAGAGCGCCTCCTCCAGGACCAGAAGATGTGCCGGAGCAAGCAGGCCTGTGCCGGCCTGTCCGACATCAAGCTGCTCTTCAGCTACTTGCAGCTCTTCCAGGTCACAGACAAGGTGAGAGAGGCTGTTAGTCGACAGACTTGCTAGTCAAATGACCTGCAAACTTGTCGCTTTTCGGCAAATTTAGTTGTGTTTATTTGGGGGGGTGGGGGGGAGGTGTTGGGGGTTAACCAGCCTGCCAGCGTTTCTGGGATTGGAGTGAGACAAGGAGAATAGGTGATTTGATTAACTTTGCAGTAAAACATCTTTTGAGTCTCAGACAATTAGCATTGAGACCTCTACAGCGTCTTCATTTCCCCTCCAGCTTTCCATCCTTTCACTCCAAATCAGTGCTGCCTACCGTGGAAACTTTCCAAACCCTCTTGGCCACTTTTTTTGAGGCTCAAAATTGACCAGCGACAAATTTAGCAAAATGTCCTTTTTCTCCAGGTGGTGTTTGACCTCAGTCTGGCTCGGGGTCTGGACTACTACACAGGGATCATTTATGAGGGTGTGCTGACTCAGGCGGGTGTGGCCCCCGGGTCCACTGAAGCCCAAAATGGGACGCCCGCAGAGGAGAGTGTGAGCGTGGGCAGCGTGGCCGGCGGCGGTCGATACGACGGCCTGGTGGGCATGTTTGACCCCAAGGGCAGGAAGGTGCCGTGTGTGGGCGTCAGCATCGGCATCGAGAGGATCTTCTCCATCTTGGAGCAGAAGGCGGAGGTAAATGTTCTGTGTAAACATCTTCATCTTCTACAGTACCAGTCTAAAATAAGTTTCTCCCAAAAAGTACTTCCTTGATGTACAAAAATGGGCTCAAGGAAACCTAGTTAATCAGAAACTATGACCTGTTTGAATTATGTTGGTCAGTCAAGTGTTTGCTTGTTAAGTGTGTAGATGTCCAGACTGTAATGATGTTGTGATGTTCAGGCCTCAGCAGAGAAGGTCCGTACCACGGAGGTTCAGGTCATGGTGGCGTCTGCTCAGAAGAACCTGTTGGAGGAAAGACTCCGACTTCTCACCGAGCTCTGGAATGCTGGCATCAAGGTGTGTGTGTGTGTGTGTGTGTGTGTGTGTTCTCGTGTTCTCAGAGATCTGATCCGGTGTCACAGCCAACTTTAAAATTGTTGTGTCTTGCCGAACAGTTGTGTTCTTTTCTAACATGATGCTAACTTTTAGGTCAGTCCCAATGACAATCCTATTTATTATCAGTAGTTTCCTCTTGACTGAGGTTTTTTACTGATGGATTATAAACTAAAGCAGATTGAAGCTTTAATTATTCAATTTAGCAGAAAACAGTTCAGCTCCAGTTAACAAGACGGGAGAACCTGTGCACAGAAAGGCTGTGCTGTGGGTCATGTCTTGTTAGATGAGCAGCGTTGGTTCGGGTTCAGGCAGTACTGGTAAACCTGAACATTTCTGCCCCGGTTTGGATTTGTTGCGGTGGGCGGCCTAGAGGAGGTATGTGGGGGGGAGGCCCCCCCCCCCCCCCCAACCACAGTGTTCTACGATACCATGCTGTCATGTAGACCGGACTATTGTGACCAAGTGGATGTTGTGTCTGAATGCATCCAGGCTGAGGTGATGTACAAGAAAAACCCCAAACTGCTGAGTCAGCTGCAGCACTGCGAGGAGTCCGGGATCCCCTTGGTAGCCATCCTGGGAGAACAGGAGCTCAAGGATGGAGTGGTGAAGCTCCGCGTCGTGGCATCCAGAGAGGAGGTACGAGTCCAAAGAACAGATGATTTGTTTGATCATTGGATGGGCGATAAATCTAAAGATTAAAGCGGTACAGTACATTTTTAACGCAGTTAGCGCAACTATGGTTTGCCGGAAGTTTCCATGAAACCACCTGTTGCAGTCAGTCAGCTCCGAGAGACCGAGACGGTAGTTGAAAATGGAGAGCTCTTTTTGCATTGGAAGTAAAATAAAACAGGCGCGACATACAGCGAAGAAAAATGCAGAGCTATTCCTCCACGTGTCAAACAGAAGGGGGACGAGTGGCAAACGGACCACTTAAAACACCGCTCTGTTAAGCTTGCTGCTCAACATCTATCTTGTGCTGCACAGTCTGCAGAGGACCAGCACTGTGCTTGGGTAACGTCCCGGCTAAATGTCGGGAGATTTTGGAGAGTTGAGAGCAAGAGTCGCTAGTCAAACCCGTTGGAATTCTGCTTTAGAGATGATCAAACGCCCGCGTGTAGTGTAGTTTAGAAAGTGTGTATTGTTTAATTGTTGTTGTTTTTTAAAGTTATTACTCCCTACTTGTCATATTCAGTCTTTAGAAGAAAAACAAACTTTTACTTGATTAATTGGTTAATTTTTTTAAATCTATGGCCTTAGTATTTATCGATTTGGTTGCTCTCCGTGGTGCTGACCTTGGATAACTACTACTCTGATGCTAGCCAGCTATGTTAGAACACACCCTCGATGCTTAGGCTCTTCCCCCTGATCACCACAGACTCTTGACTCCAAATGACGTGCACATGAGGGCAGTGTATCAGAGATAATTTGGTTTCATTTTCGAATTCTTGGGAGAGGTTTATGACATAAATATGTAATGTAGCTTTATAGAGGATCTGAAAATCCCCCAGCCGACCAGCCTTGATACAGATCTCCATGGGGGACACGTTGCTCACACCCTTTGAGCCTTAATACAGGGACAATAGTGAGAGCTTTGTTGGCGGACTAAGCTGTGCTTGTCTTCTCTCCACAGGTGGACGTCTCTAGAGCAGCTCTTGTCGATGAGATCCGGAGGAGGACCTCTCAGGCCTAGTCGTGTTCAGCTTCAGATACTCTCTCTGCAGAGCCCCACAAAAGAGCCCGTTGCCACAAGCAGTGAGCATGACAAGCTTTGTGTCAGCAAAAACCCATCGAGAATGATTTGTTACAGTTGACATGAAATGAGTTCTGGATTAATGCTCAAAGAGACATTCTTGCTTTTAGTGTCAACTTTGTTTAATAGAGAGGAAGAAAGCATTGATAAACTATTCATCACCAACAAGTCCCAGTCTCTAATTATCCATAAAGCTGCTGTTAGTCAGACACACCTTTCATCTGATAATCGTTCTGCCCCCGATGTCACACATTTAACTGATATATCACATGTTTTGCTGCAACGTGGGAACTTGAGCTGTACTTGTATCAAAGTTGACTGCCCCGTGTGTGAAATAAACCCATCCTTCTGCTCAATCCAAGGCCCTTTCTCAACGTGCGTTCTTGTGAGAAACTAATATCCCAGAATGCATTTCATCTGAGCAACAATGGCAGAGGAAAATAATCACAACAAAGTTGAATATTATAAATACTCCTATATTAAAGTCACAGGAGGTCATTTTAGGACTTTTTCAGGCGATAAGTTTGTTGTTTTATTTCTGTAGTATGTTTAACGTTGAGCCTTCTAAACTATTAGCTCCAAGATGCGGGAGATGTGAGGTGTAGTTAACGGGACCGTCAGACAGCCTCATCTCAGCCCGCAGAGAGCAGCCTGTTCTCGGCAAGTCTTGAAAAGTGTGAAATGATCCACTGGTGTTCACGTCTCCCAAGCGGTTATACATGAGATATAACTATAAATGGCCGTTCTCCTGCAGCCTCTGCTTGGTGACTCTGGAATTCTGAGTCTGTTCTCCCGAGAACGCAAGTCCATTCTCAGCGTTCTCGGTATTGAGAAGCGGCTCAAGAAACCAGCTGCTGTGTTCTCAAATGACACACTAGTCGTTATTTTCATCAAACACCTCCCAAAATACTGTGGTATAGATATTAGGTTCTATCATCTATATCTGCCCAAACTACAGATGACAACAAATGACACAGTCCATGTCTTTTGTTCATTTTATCCCTATCACTTTGTAAACTTATTGTAATCTGCCAAGTGAGGAGAGATCACATCTGTTCCTATAAAAGTGTATAAACAATCAAAAGATTTGACCGGACTATGGATTCCATTGCTGAGGTTGTTTGGAATGTTGAACTATTTACTTTCCCTAGTTTTGCTAGTTTGTTTTAGGGGACCTTGTTTGTGTTCTAAAGGACAAATTGCAATATATTAGATGGCGCTTTTTCACCATCATCATTCTAAAACCACTTACATGATTTTTCTTCAGATCCACGAATTTGTTCAGAGAACAAGGCGCCATTAAAAGTAAACTTGTGCACGTTAACACTTCAGATGCATTATGCGCTGACTGCCAGCAGATGGCAGCGCAACCTCACTCAACAGATAACGATCGCATGTCATGACTCAATTCTTTAAATTTACTTTTAAAAGACTTTATATCAACTTAAACATTAAGTACAAAGGATCCAATTTGCATGCAGTTATATTGCCTGTGTCTCCTGTACAGATGCCAATATAATGGAGGTTGAACCTAAATACGGCAGCATCATGTCTATGACACATGGCCCAAAGGGCAGCCTGATGACCGGTTTCCGTGATCTGCAGCTGGACCGTGTGTCATACATCTGGCAGCATGTGTGGCTGTCTGGTATGGAACACAAACCATTCTTGTGCAAATCGCTTTAACCATACACAAAGCTTCAGTCACCATAAATTCACTGTCAACTATGTGTCAATTAACTCAATCACTGAGGATTGCGCGGCATCCTCGTTCTATCCAACATAGTGGTCCTGGTCTCCTTCGGATTGTGCCACAACCCCAGTTCTCGAGTTTCTAATGTGGCTGTTTTTACAAACCTGATCCTTCGGAAAAAACATATCCGACCTTCTGCCCTTTATTTTGGTTCTGAGTTCAGGTGTGACAGCCCAACGATACCACTGCTTCCTTGCGTTCTGTCTGAAGCGGCACACACGTTCTGCTGATCACTGAATCCATCTGTGAATCAGACATAAACGTGTTTGCTCCTGCCGACTCCACAGGAGACGCACACCGGCTGGTCCCGAGTGACTGTGTGATCGTGTCAGTGGAAATAAAACACTTAACACACAGCATCGTTTTTCATGATTTATTGGTGTGCAGTATTGACAAAAAGAAATGCAGCTTGACGTATTCTTTAACGAGTGGATGAGAAGAATAAATATCTGAACCAAACCTGTGGATCTGAATTAACAAGAATAGATTGAAGTGCATTAATTTAATTATTCAAAATATCCTCCATAGTGACTTGATGGTTTTACATCTGAATACGAACTACTTGGTTAACTTCAGACCCTTTAAAAGGAATTCACCACTGAATCTCCATTGAGCGTCAAACACTCCCCTTGGCAAAGGCGCTTCAACCTGTGGAGACTCCTTGATGCTCAAAAGAGGGACTTTCAGTGGATCGCTCCAATAAGGGTTGCTAGGCTGCATGAGCGTTGTGACCTAGGGAGCCTGGGTGGTTCCTAACCCCACAGCGTTAGCATAAGCAGACAGCAGACTGACCACCTGCCTCGTCTCCAGTGTGAGTCTGGCCTCAGTGAGCCAGTCCTCCACCACCCTCCTTGCCTCTCCTCTCAACTGGTTCACCAGTTTAGCTGCCAGCTCCAAATCCCCGTGTTCTAAGCAGAAGCTAGCATACGACAGAAGCCTGAATGGGTCTAAATCCTCGCTGCACAGCTGGCCGGGGGGTGCTTCCTGTTTGGCCTCAAACAGCAGCGCAGCTTGAAGGTAGGACAAGAAGTACTGATACAAGGAGTTGTGAGTTTCGTCAACCAGGGCGACCCGGCGAACCAGCGCTCGAAGGGCGTTGAAGCGGGCCCGGAGGGAGGCCTCGCTGTACACGCCGCGCTGCAGGGATTCTTCTGGGAGGGCCGTCGCAAGAGCCAAGGCAAAGTCATTGTCGTGGCAGCTGTCTCGCACAGCCTGAGCAGCGCTCTCTAGAGGCATGGTGGGGGAGTCGGCATCAGCCATCTTTAACGAGTAGTTGAGAGCCTCCACAGAGAGCCACAGCTGGTGGGCTTTACGGGCCTCCTCCTCTGCTACTACATGGCCTGCATTCAGAAGACAGAAGGGTATGAGCATGAGTCCAGTTGTACAATTATTCCTCCCCAAGTCCATATTTAAAAAAAATCCTACATAACCCACCCAGTGAGCAAGTACCATTATGGTCTGTACAAGAAACCAAGCGCTTAATTATATTCTGTGTTTCCGTGCGTTTCTACACTACTGGTAGAGTAACCAGGAACAACAACGGTTAAACAGACACACTGGCTGCAGGTACTGTTAGGTAGAAAGGTACGGGTGTGTGTATCTCACTGTCTATGGCCTCCTCCATCCCCTTGAGCCTTGCGTAGGCCGTGTTCATATCCAGAGTGAAGTTATCCAGCTGTTCTTGGCTCAGCTGGCGGTAGCTTGTCTCCTGCTCCAGCAACTTACTGCCCAGGACCTGAACACAGCACACAGAGCAGCGTTGAAGGGGAGATGTGCACCATGACACGTGGATGACACCAAGCTGGCTTCATCCATTTACCTGCCCAGGTGCCACAGAGTCCTCTAACACACTTTGAAAGCATCGTTATGAAGATCGTTAGATGGACACGTTATTTACTTATTGGTGGGCTGTAACAGTTCTACCTGATCAGACGGACTCGACTACAGAAGGATACAAGCTTTCACGTCAGACACCACAAGTCTCCAATAACACTGAGAAAAGTTGCTGGATTTGTCGTTATTGACAAAAATGGCCGGCCAGCCAGTTCATCCGACCCCCCCCCCCCCCCCAAAAAAAAAGCCCTTTGGATCTACACGATTCACGTGGATGACCCATTTTGAATTCAAAATGACCATTTTCGCCAAAAAACGACATGTTTGCAGGTGTGAACAGGTGAATGTGTGTGTGTGTGTGTGTGTGTGTGTGGCAGAGACCTGCTCAGCATCAGCTCTCAGCTCCTGCTCCTGGACTTTGAGGACATCTTGGACATGGTCTGTGTGAGCCGCTGCCTGACGCCGGAGCTGAGTCCTCATCTCTGCCTCCATCACTTCCCTCAATTCAGACAGCTACACAACACACACCGTTACATACACAGAGACAGCCCCTTGTCTGAGCCATGCATGGCTGGCACCCTCAAATGAAGACTAATGTATGGCCTCCTTACCTTCCTCTCCTGCTCCAGCCGCGTGTCCTCCTTGATGTGCTGCACGGCGGTGAGGACGGCCTTCTCCAGGGCTTTCTGGTCCTCCAGCTTCTGCTGCTCCAGCGATGCATCGATGTGGATCTGCTCTCTGACTCTCTGCTCAGCAAGCTCCCGATTCAGCTGGTCAATGCGACGGTGTGCGTGCGCGATCAGGGCGTTCAGGTCGTCCGCTGACAGTTTACCAGCTATCACACAAACACATTTCATCCAAAGAACTCCACTTCAGCTAGATTTTCTTACCCCCCCCTAAATTGTTTTTACAATATTTGTAGACATCAGTGGCGTTCGATGGGATGCAGCTAATTTGGATGTACAGTTAACACGAAAAAAAGTCCCTGTTCTGGAGCTGGAGGAACTCTTTACCACACGTTGATTCTACCCACCTCTTTTCCCACCAAATGTGTGTGTGTGTGTGCGCATGTGTGTGTGTGTGTGCGCAGTCTTACTGAGGCCCTTCCAGTTGGCCTGGATCTCTGGAGTGAGGCTGCTTACTTCCCTCTGGAACTGTAGTTTGGCTTCATTAACCAGGTCACTGTACTGGCTGACAATCTTAGATTCGGACTCTGCAGACTGCAACTACACAGGAGAGACAGAGACACAAACACCAGAAGAATGCTTTCAGTACCTCAAACGAAAGCATGTTGGGGGTCCTTGATGAGGAGGGAGTTCAACAGCAGCAAGTCACTACGGATTCCTTCTTATGTTCCGTTTGAAGTGAGAAACGTAACGTGCCTCCAGCAGCTCTTCTGGTAGCACTTCATCTTAAGCGGTGTTTAAATGTGGTGTATACTTTTGTGTGTGTGTGTGTGTGTGTGTGTGTGTGCGCCTCTTCTCTCTAAGTGTGAGAACAAGTTCTGACGTTCAAATAAATCCCAAAGTTTTTGGATTAGTATTTCTTTATTTTTTAGAAATGATATTATTATTATGTCCAAGAAGCAGCCTGTTTTTTTGGACAGTTCCGTTGCAGCTGCGACCACAGTCTCAAAGAAAACCATTCGTAACATACTACGATGTCATGGATTAAAATCCTGCAGCGAGGTGAGATCTTGGATGAAGCCCCAGACCGAGGGGAGATTGACGTCATTTTAAAACTTCTTCCATTTTCTAATAATTGCGCCAACAGTTGTTGCCTTCTCACCAAGCTGCCTTCCTATTGTTCTGTAGCCCATCCCAGCCTAGTGCAGGTCTACAATTTGATCACTGATGTCCTTACACAGCTCTCTGGGCTTGGTCATTGTGGAGAGGTTGGAGTCTGTTCGATTGAGTGTGTGGACAGATTTTATACAGGTAACAAGTTCAAAGAGGCGAACGAGCAGCCCGGAGGAACCGACAGTAGTAGTTCAGGTTGAAAGACCGGGCGGATGCTTGTTGTTTTAGTTGAGATTTTAGCTTAGTTGGGTTCACTGCTTCTCTTCACCTGTCGGTGTCCGCTCTGTGTCTGTGTGCGCTGCCTAAGCCCCGCCCCCGGGTTCCACAAGGAAAAGGGACAGAGGCAGCGCGATCAACTTAAATGTGACGCTCATTTGTATGTAAAGTGAATATAGCAGCACCAAAAATGGAGTGGCGGCGAGGGCGAAAAGTGGTCGCTGGAAGGTTCCTTTGCCATAACGGCAGGTTGCGTGGTCGGTGGTAGTTTGCGGTAGTCGGATCCTTTTTCAGAACGTTTGCCGTACATGTTTTTTTCTAACTTTATTGACAATCTAGCAGATCACAGCGACTTGCTAGTAGCGCAGCGTCTTAAATAAAGTAATGTATGTCTTGCGGCTTTAGAAATGAACATGAAGGGATTCTGTATTTATTAAGTCTGAAACGGGTCAAACCCACGGTCACGATATACTCATTTAACGTTACATAGTATTTGCATGCCGCTAAATACCCAACTGAGATCGGCTTATGCCGTTCTGAAAAAGGATCCGACCACCCACCAGGCAACCTGCCGTTATGACAAAGGAACCTTCCACCGACCACTTTCCGCACTCGGCCCTAGTGCAAAAACGAGTGATATGTCATTTTATCGCATTTTGCGATATACATACATCGCAAAATAATTTCATCAAACACATATTTGGATTTGTTGCAGTCATACAGCAACGGTTGCCCAATCTATATATTTACAAATCGCTTGTCAAACTTATTTAGTATGTAAGGAAAGTCTAAAATAAGGTCCTTACCTTAGTCACCACTCGGTCCAAGTCCACCACCATGTTATGGAGGTTCTCCTCTGCCGCTAGAACCAGTGGGCGAACAGCAGAGACCTTCAGTCCCTTAGACTTGTCAATCTCTGACTTGAGACTGTCCAGGGCTTCCCTAGAGGGGGGGAGGGACAGGAGAGATGGGGTGAGGAAGAGCAGTCGTGTATGGTCACAAAGCAAAGACTAAAAACCTGAAGTGGACACATTGTCTAAATCTAGTTTGATAAACCAGATGAGATTAGCATGATATGTCTGATTGAGCCCAACAGGTGTGTGTGTGTTTGAAAATAAGTCTTACTTGGCCTTCAACAGAGCAGTTTCTGCATCATTGACAGCGGAGGTTCTATCAGCTAGAGCTGCTTCCAGATCCTTCCACTGGGACGACTTCTCCGGAGGTGGGACCTGGATTTAATATGAACTGTAATCAGTCTACTGCAAAACCACCTTCTAAGCGATTGCGCAATGAAGATTGATCCACATCTTATCGTCATCATGGTGGAAGTCAAAGATAATAACGATGGAAGTGAACCCCGCTCGCCCTGAACAGGAGCCTGAAGAGTCTTCGCCCTTTGCTCCGCACAAATTAACCCAAATCCCGTGTACCTCTGCCTCCATGGCCTCCTTCAGTTTGTGGATGTGCTGCGTGATAGCCTGCACGGCTGCCTCCTGCGCGCCAATGGCCTGCAGGGTGGCTTTAGCCGAGCTAGCCAGGCACTCCTCCAGACTGGCTGATACAGCTGCAGAACAGTCAGACACAGAGAGGAAACATGACAGGCTAGGAGACCATGGAGAGCAATGACCTCACTGGGGCTGTGCGGTATACCGATTCCACCGATTCCACCGGTGTCACATTTCCTCGCGGTTTTTCACGTACCGTCATACCGGCTACAGCTGACGTTCCTTGTCAGCAGAATTTATTTTTACACTTTGCCCCCGAGCGCACAGATTGAAATAGTAAAGAAGCAATATTCTGTTGAAGAATTATTATTTCACTTTAATGTACAATATGTGATGGCAGTTGATTGCATTATACATTATACATTTTTTATGCATGTGTATCTGTTCAGGGGTGTGTGTGTGCGTGTTGCCAGCATACATGATAGGGTGTCCTGCTCTTTCTGGTCTTGCTGAGCCAGTCTAGCTGCCACTTCCTCTACTGGTCTCTCTCTCAGTGGGAGCTCCGTGTGAGGGGCAACCACTGCTGGGTCTGCATGGTGCTGACACTCTTTGCACTCCTCTGGAGAAAACATGCACAGACACAATGGGACTTGTTATGCCCATAAAACCTGTTTGACTTGTGTTCACTGTGATAGTCTTTTCAAGATTGTGTCATTTGGGATTTACAGACACAAGGTCCACATTCACACTCATTTGGAGTCTTATCTTACCTTTGACTGCTGACTCTGTGTCACATGGAGCAGGCACCGTGGAGATCTCACTGATGGCTGAGATGATATGAGATGCCTCTGCTGAAGCCTCTGAATGGGGCAGAAATTCAGAACTCAAGATTCAGTAGTGTCTTTTTTTATGTCATGCACACACAGTTTGGGATGACGAAAACTAGGGACCATTATGCAATGGGATCATACTAGCCACCGCCTACGGAGTGCCATGTACTCAGTAGCTGAGTGTGCTATGCAGACTCTGAATCAGCAGGGGAACACAATGCCAGCTCCGCTCTCACTGCTGGGAAATGTCAACTAAAACTGAAACCTACATTCCGACATCCAGGTTCCTGTGCCAGAGCGGCCGTCCCATCTGAAGGCTTTCTATCGTAAGCCCACTGACCTTTAATGAACTCTGTTGACTATATATTCACTGAGATCTAGCACCACTTAGGGTTTAATTGTTTAAGGGTTGTCAGCTATTTGATGGTGCTGGATGCTGGGTGTTCTGTTATAATAACCAATAATATATTAACAGACATATTAACAAGTGTGCTTTGGGTGTATCTTGGCTGCGAGAGTGCTTGCTTGGATTTTAGATCCGACTTCAGACTAATATTGCTTCTTTCTCAGGATAAAATTAAGTAAGAACAGGAATTAATCAAAGATAACAATGTAAATGTATCAAAGAAGAATATAAACAGAATTTTGATAAAAAATATTTTAAATACAGACTGATGATTCATTTAGGTGTTAAGTGTGAACACTGTTGCTGTGTGTTGCCTTTAATAGTTTCAGCTCTGACGTCTGACGAGACAGGCAGGAGCTCAGCACTACAGGAGCCAAGGGCTTCACGATTGTACAAAATGTATGCGTTGGAACCAACCGAGACGTACCCTCGATGCTCTGTGCAGGCTGTGAGGGGACAGGACTTGTCTCTTTGGCTGGACTCCCTGGCTCCTTCAGCGCCTTCTTCCCTTTGGGCGCCTTTCCTGGTTTATCCATCATGGAGGGAGGCTGGGCCATCTCCACCTGGACAGACATTTGACCGAGTCCTGAGGGTCTCACAGGTTTTGGTACAGAGCCACATATCACAGTCCCGTCCCAGATAGAGAGGAGATGGTTCCATAACAACGAGTCATCAACTTTGAGATGATTCACTTAGTTACGTTCTGAATGGGAAATGGAGCTAGTAACTTAACGCAATGAAATTTTATTCTGGGGCTGGGAAAATGAATGCAGACCATTATTTCTTTCCACGTTACAGACTTTTAGTTTATAAATTATAATTTTAAGTATGTTGCTCACTGGCTCTGAATTCACATACAGACAAAACATGCGCCACCGTTAGCAACCTGCATCACGGAAAATGTTTTTTTCTTCTTTCATTTGACTGTGATTCTCCAAAGGAAATCCAGTACCAACATAAACTTCACAGACTAGCACTTTAATCCCAGCTATGTCCTTAGAGATTATTGATAGTCTATGCTGCTCCCTGATAATAGAAACATTTGTGCTATTGCCTAAACATACTAATTCTATAAATGTTAACTTCCCCGTTATGATGTTGTGATCACGGAAGGTAGCTTGTTTTTCTATAACAAGGGTGTGTGTCGCTTTTGACAAAATAAAACGTAAGGAAAGTCGCCAGATTTAGCGAGAAAGACGACAAGTAGGCAGCACTGATTTGGAGTGAAAGGATGTAACGCTGCGGGGGAAATAAAGACGCAGTAGAGGTCTCAGCGCTGATTGGCCAAGGGTCGTCCCGTCACATCAAAGACGTTTTATTGTGAAGATCGCAACATCCCCTTTTTTCCCCCCTTTCTCTCGTAAACATTCTTCGTTTTATTAATGGCGGTATTGTGCTATGAAAACGGAAATGTGAAACTCCGTAAAGGATGTAGTTAGCGGACCAATCGCAGCCTTGTGCGCTGCGGGAGGCTTGCGTCGCGAGTCAATACTGTAAGCGACATTAAAAGATTTCCATTCGGGATAAAGAAATGAGGCCCAGACTTTGGGATACAGGAGAGATGATTTGACAGAAATGTTCCTTTATATTCCCAAACAAACTCACTCCTATATTGAGCTGCTTTGTATCAGCTGATACTCATCCAGTAATCTGGGGCTCTGATACGGCTGCTTTGGTCTCACTCAGCACATCGGTTATCTCAAATAATACATTTGTGCAATTTCTGGCTCTGTTTTAGGCGGGATTTATTTATCGTTCACACCCGGTTATTTTCTCAAAGCAGTCCGCTATAATGACCCAAACATGTTGTGAATCCATCCTGACCTGTTTCATGATGTCCCCTTGATAAGCAGGTCCCAGAGCCAGACCCAGGAGCCAGTCTGAGTATGGAACATTGTTCTCCACAGCGGCTCTGAACTTGTGGTCCCATTTTGCGTAGAGTATTGTTCCTCCAACGCCCCCCCCCACTGTCAGCAGGCCAGCAGCCACCACTTTAGCGGCTCCACTGTGGTGGAAGAAGACAGCAAAGAATCAACAGGAATGTGACGTCATCATGTGATGTCATCATGCCTCGTCATCGTCAGTGTTCAAGGAGTCTGATGGAGAGCTGGTTTTCCTTTAACTTTACTCCATCTCCATACACATCGTTATGAGATAGATTATGATGAGGGGTATCTAACTGGTTAGGGTTTGTACTCTTTAACAGAGACAATTTTAGACATTTCATTCAGTCACATTGTGTTAATCAGATTGTTGTTGTATAATTATTATTTTTACCCGCATCGCCCAAGAATTGTATATTTTACTACTCTGGTTTGCACTGGAAATGACATCACATTTATACATACTGTATTCATTTATGCTAGTATTGTTAGTGTGTGTGTGTGTGTGTGTTACCTGCTCCCTCCTGCTGTGTACTGCCGGCATGGTTGCAGATTGGTGAGTGGGATTCTCCTGGTGTTCTTCTATAGAAAGGACAGGTGGAAATACAGAGGGAGGAAAAGAGATTTGTTTCATGAAATATACACACATCTACTGTCATACACATATGCGGTGCGTGTAAAACTAATTTGACACACTATAAGAAGTTGAATGAGAGTATCAGGAGCATTTAGAAAGAAAATCAATTCAATGAGCAAATCAATAACACTGCAACTGGCACATGAAATGTATCTGATTTGAATCTGATTTCCATCAGTTTAAACATTATGCATCCATGGGAAATTAAACAAAATATTACATCGCCACGCTGTTGCAAATAATGGCCAGAGCTCTGTGTGTGTGCGTGTCTGCGTGTAGCGGTGTTGGTGGTACTGAAACAGACACCTCTCTCAGTCGGCCTGCTTTTGGGGGAAGTAAACTGAACTTTCTGTGGCCGGGTTCTGGTTTCCCGTCATCGGAGGGATCCACAAACAAGTGAAAGGAGAGAAGGGACACAAACTGCTGTTTGCCTCGTTCAAAGAATTGTTCATGAATTAATAATATATCTGGTGCTCTGATGGTGCTACCTTCTCATGTGAAGACTCTCGATGAATATATTGTTTGATTTTGAAACAGTAGCCTTGTGGTTTCAGATGTTAGCACAAAAGTGTGTCTTATCTAATGGTGATTTGTTCACACACACGAAGGAATTTGATTAAAAGCACATTAATTATTAATTATTAATTGAACAGTGTTTATTAACAGGCTGATGTGTACATCAAAATAAGCTGTAGGTCATGATTTACATGGAGAAACCATGCAATTCTATGTAAAAGCAAATCTCTAACCTGTGAACAACGAGGTAACACAGCAGACAGAAACCCCAGTGATGGATGTGTAATGTCTTGGCTCCGTTTTGTTCCCTCTGATGTAACCGAATTTAAAGAGTTATGCGTGATTGATGTCAAACAAATTTACCCGTCCAAATTTGAAATATATTTTGTTATTAATCGGTCAGGTTACTGCAAACAGTCCTAGTTGCTGGAAGTTACTTTATTTAGAAGCCACAGAAAGGTTTGGACTGAAGTGGACAATGAAGTAACTCTAGCGTCAATCCAGAGACGTTAATAAATCCGCTTCCCGGGTGCACAGCGTTTCCCTCCCGGAGAGAGGCCGGCGCCCCTCGCGGTGGGAGAGTTAACGTTTGCAATATAAAAGTTCATTTAGATGGTTCAGATTAAGGAAGGTACCAAAACGGACACACACACACACACACACACACTTGTGTCTCATATTGTATTATTTAACACGTGAGACAGCTCGGCACGAGAATATGTTGTGTTACCCATATTTTAAAATGTAACTTGACTTAAATTGATTTTTTTTTAAACGAAATAATGATGTAACGTTAATATTAATAAAGAGTCGCATGTGTAGTCTCGAGGCCGCGGACGCCGCGTTCGTTCAGTAAACGTAGCTAGCGTTAGCTCGAGGGGTTAGCTTACTTGGGGTTGAAATGTCATTAGCAATGTGTCACCAGAAGCTAACAAGCTAGCAATGACATTAAGCATCGTTGTCATCAGCTCTTTCTGAAGGTAACTTAAATAATAAAAAGGCATTTGCATTCGATAATCTAACGTTTTGTTGCATGTTGACGTGAACTATCAGACCTAACGTTAACTTAGTTAACAGTAAAATACACTACGGCACCTTGGACAGTCTGTGGGTCACTGAGTGGCAACATGCTAATGCCAAGACGGTAGCTCACGCTAGCAAAGGAGGGGCCACAGAAGCTAAGGCGCGAAGCTTACCCGGGCTGTGGCCTTAGCGCCTCTCACACAGGCCCTCAGCATGGTCCACTACCACCGCTTTTCTCAACTGCTTATCAATTCAACCTGCACAGAAGCAGAAACGGCTTTCTTTTCGCGTCCTTCTTCCGTTTTCTTCTTCTACCTCTTCTCGTCTGTTTCAGCAGCTGATTTAAACGCGTGTGCGCAACACTGCCCCCTTAGTCACAAAGAGGCAACGCAAGCTCCTCCGAGTCTGATGTGTTTGCCTTGTCAGAGGCACAACCCCAATGCCCCGAGGGCTTTCATTGTATGCTTCTTCCAGACGCTTTACTCAGAAGATGAATGGACATTCTAAATGTTTTCACTATTTTATCAAAATATATTTGATGAATTGTAAACTACAGACTGATTTTGGAAGGAGTTTTTTGCCATTCTTATTCAACGTATACGTTTGTACGGTCCTCTTTTTTAAAGTCACCAGGCCTTTACTGGTTACCCCTCCTTTCATCGTCCGCGGGGAAGGCCAGGCAACTTGCTAGCTGGAGGCACCAAGATCATTTTACTCTGAATATCTTATAGTCCTGTTTAACATAAGGAGTATAACTCAATCTTTCAGCAAAATACACAAGCCTGGTAATAATCAACGTCATCATAGAATAACAGTATGGCGGCTGCGGCAATCCACTGTTAAACTGGTTGAACAACCAAAGCAGACACCATGAGTCAACCCAGTTGCAATTCTGGTTCCAAAAAAAAAAAAAAACATCTCTCCCTCAGGACAATGAAACAACAAAGTCTTTTTTATTTATTATTTGAAAGTCCTCAACATGAAGGAAACAGCAATAACCACAGCAACATTAGCATTATAAAACTACCAATATAAAAACAAATTACAGCTCAATAAGTGTAGTTAATGCTTTTCGGTATTTAAAATTGTACATACTTGCGGAGGGGTCTTGTCAGAGTTATTAATGGGAAAGTATTTTACCTTTGGTTTGCCCATCTCCTTTAAACAGGTGACAGAAGCATTTGAGTTCAGTCACTTGAAGCAGGATTCAACATTTGTACATAATGGACACTAACCACAGCTTGATTCAACATGCAACTGTAAAACTCCCTGAGCAGATTAGCAGTCTGTAAAAAGATCCCAGCCTATGGATTAAGAAGCACTAGCATGACGGAGGCAGAACACAGCGTACGCTGGACAATGTTGAACCATTCCCTACAAACCGAGGTGCGCAGACAGCCGGGGGGGACTGTGCAGATGCAGCATTGCTTTGAGCAGATTAAGTACCAGGAGTCCTTCTGGGTAAACATCGAGGGCTGTTGGAAGTGAGGGAACATGTCGGGGGAGAAGTGGGTAAACATGTATTTTCTTTTCTATGGAGGAGTTATGCCATTTCAGGTTCCGCTGGGCTTTCAGTCTTCTGTACTTTAACTGGAGTGCCTAAACAGTCTTCCCCCTGCACAGGAGAGGAAACACAACCACGGTCAATACAATACAATTCAGTCTCATTTCCCCGGTTATGTGTTGCACTTATACTTCTTTCTAAACACCAGTGATGTTAAGGACTACATGCGGGTTTTGAGAACCTAGAAACTGGAGTACTTCCACAAAACCGTATCAATGGCTTTACACAAGTTATTACAATACCAATAGCATCTAAACATCTAGATCTGGCCTCCTGAGTCTGTGCACTTATCCATTACGTCCATCTACTAATTGTCAGCTCAGTTACGCCACACAAGAACAACATGTACAGCTGCTACACAATCTGTGCATCCAAGCAGACTGGTACTGCAAATTAAAACTATTTTCCCCTGATAATGCTACAATGGGAATAACAGATCCATGTTGAAATTGACCAAAGAAAGCTTGGTAAAGTTGGCCGACAGCAGCAAAGTCTTGCGTGGTTAAATAACTACACTAAGAAGTAATGGAAGATGCATTGAGTGACATTGTAAAATTCTTTCATTTGTAACAAGGAGATTGTTACAAATGATCAGAAAACGAGGCACTGAATAAAAGCAAACATTTTTTCATTAACATTGCTTTTCACATCTAAAACTAGAAAATGCTAACTTGACCTAAACTAAAAGGTCTGTAAATGATTCAGATTTAATAGTGCATTTAGAGTTCAATGAAACCGAAGTGACGAACTCACGTCTAGAGAAAGTCTGTGTGTGGTTGGGGCATTCTGGGTGTCTGGTAAGTTGGGGAAGTCCAGCTCAACGTCCATTACATCTCCAAGACCCAGCTCCTCACTGCTGGGACAGAGAAGGGAAAACACGTGAACAGGATTTCCAGCTGATTGATAGTGGCGAGCATGTGCCGGGGGGGGGGGGGGGGTGTGTTTTTGGGTCTTAAAGGACCTCTGCATCTTCTTACATGTTATCTAGGACATTGTCTTGGCCGTCCTCTGTTGGGGGGTCCCAGGCGTGCAGTTTGACTTTCCACAGTTTGATCTGCTGGTCCCAGGAGCGACGGCTGTACTTCCTGAACTTATTGGGAGTCTTTGGGTGAACACCCGACTGACGCATGTGTCTGAAAAGATGATGATGAGTTTTTTAAGTTTTATTGCAGAGTAGGTCTGAACGTACAAAGAATATGTCTTGTGACTTGCTGGATGGCGATAAGTGCAAAAGTCTAGGTTTTCAACATGAATATTGTCCTACACGTAGTTGCATTGCTGTCCTGATTGAGGGTGAGTGCGCGCGTGTGTAGGTTTACACCTACTTTGGAACTTCATTGACGTATCGGTCATAGGCCAGTGTGTTCTTGCCATAGTTTATCTGTTTCTGTCGCCGTAGCAACACCGCCTCATCAGTCTCCATGTTGTCTCCCTCTTTTGAGTCACAGCTGCAAAAGAAACAGGATGTAATCACACATTTGTATCCAAACAAGAAAGCTGCATTATGAACGAAGCTTCCAAATACCAGCTGGGATCTGAGAAATTGATTCACTTAACCACCATTTTACTCATTATTATAATTAATTATAAATATATCTACAGTATCAAATTGAACCCCTCATCCAAGTTCACTATCATCAGAAAGATAAAATATGAAAAAGAGAAGATCCCCACCTCCCAGAAGAGCCAGACGAGGTCTTTCTCTCCCTCTGAGTGACCTCTGCACCCAGTATCCTCCTCCTGTAACTGAACAAAGGGCACACACAGTCAGTGAGGACAGGCACTCAATAAAGAGTGTGCTTTGAGCCACTGAGATAGAAGCAGACTTCGGTTACCGCTGCATGTCTCTGTGTACACCCCTCCTCATCTCATCATCCTCCACCTGGCTGCCCCAGTCAGCTTGTCTACTACAGCGAGACACCGGGCCTGTGCTCTCTGGAGTTGTGAAACTAGGGAGGAAACACAATGGTTACAAAGCAGCATTAACAAACCGAGGGTACGTGCGCGTTGTTGGCACAGTGCTCGCTGAAAGACATACAGCGTTTCAAAGGGCTGCGTGGGGTTCATTTAGTGTACATTAAAAATATATAATCATATAGTATCAGAAGCGTGTAATAAAAGTAATAACTGGGGCCGTCAATAGATTTAAAATGTTTTCACATTTTAAAAGTTTAATTGTATTTCTTTAAACATCAAACTACACACATTTGAGCATCTTGGAGGCAGAATTGCACCAGGTGGAACATGCAGGGGTCAACGCAGACCGGAAATAAACAAAGTTGCGTTAACTGCGTTAAAATATTTTATTGCATTAATCTCGGCCACAATAATGTCATACATTAACACGTTTACTTTGACAGCCTCCGTAATAACGCAATGGAGTTCAGAAAGGGACGATATAGAATAGTAGATTAGCATATAGCTAACCGAATTGAAACCGAAAGCCTTTCCCCTCAGCTGTTGACGTACCCGCTGAAACAAGCCTTTCCCACTGCAAATAACTTGCATGGAATCACCTCTTACGGTGTATTTGTACACGTGAACACACCCGTGATTAACGTTCCATCCTGAAGAGCCCCGCTGTGTATGCTGGTACCCGGCTGGAACCGCTTACCCATCATGCCTCTTGTCGGCGTGCTTGGTGCTACTGTCAGTGTCCCCCGCAGCCCCGTGCTCCTCCCGGTTGGCCCGCAGGCTTCCGTCGATGCCCCGTTTCCTGCAGTTGGACCACCGCGACGGGCCATAGGTCCTACACAGGGAAGACACCATATATAACCATATTGAAGATCTCTTCTTCAATATGTTTGTATCCATGTCGAGCAAATACAAAAAGAGACATCCACACACACGTCTTCGCGCTCACCGTACAGGAACTACGCGCTTCACCGACAGTCACAACAAAGATGGCAGCCCGGCTAATGTTACCGCGATAACAGACCGAGCCGCAGCCGGCCAAACGGGTTCAGATCTGGATTATCGGGAAGCGAACGGAATACGTTCACCAAAGATGATTCAGTCAGTTATTGATCCACAGGGCGGCGGGAGCTTAAACGTCACGTGTTTAAAATGAATTTGGTTTATAAGTATAAGGTATTTAAGTATAATCTCCTTCCGGAGAAAGTAACGTTAGTTACCTCTCGCTCACTAGCGTAGCAGTAGCTCGGGCTAACGCTATGTGGAGCCATACTTACATCAGCTGTATTTCTTCGTAAAGAAAACCGCTGTTAGTCCATTATCTAGATGACCCCATTGGGTGTCTGGGGGGAGGGTGGGCTGAGGCCTCTCAACCAACAATGGACTGATCGCCATCAAACCCCCCAGTTCACGTTTTCCCATCAAGCCCAGACCTTTACTGTTCATGTGGTCTTATTGCCGACGTGGTTACAAACGTTTCATCCATCTTCACCAACATATATCAGCTTTCCCGCGGCTGGCCTGTAGCGCCTCTCTCCCCAGCCAACAACTACTGAACCAACGTTACAAATACCATTTACAAATCAGTAACTTACTGCGGTGCGGCTGGTCATACAAGCTAGCACAGGACGGAAGAACATCAACCGAGATCTAACGCTAGTTTATGTTATACAAATCCATTAACTTACGCCATTCATACAATCATGTTAGCAGTGCAAGTGTTAACTAACATCGGTTAGCTGAGTACACATAGGAAGTAATTTGCTAAACACGAATTCTAGCTAAAGTCAACTTAACACAGTGCCTTCAATGAAGTGAACAAAGACACACTGGAAGCTTGTAAAGACGAATATTTAAATAGGTAAAACCTCAAAATTCAAAAAACACAACGGTACCTATTTTCAATTTCGCTGTTGTTAGCATCCCGCCGTCTGCCTCTGGTCCAGTCGGACATTTTCTCCTACTTCTGCGAGTAGCTTTAGCGGTGAAGTATCTCTGTTGTCGGGTGTGAGGCTCTACTGAAGCCTGGCAATGTAAAGATACGCGCCAACACCGAAAGACGCGCGGTCCCAAACGGGCCATTAAGTCACATGACCGGAAAGGGTGGCGAAGACAGGAAGAAGGCGAAAGGCGAAAGGCGGCTGTTGCTGCTTCTTCTTCATTTGTTAATGGCCGTTGGCAGCTTAAGTTGAAAGTACAATACCGCCACCCAGTAAGCTGGAGTGTGTGACGGAGTTTGCCATTCGTGTTTAAACCATTGTAGACCCAATTGCAATGTCCCCCCCTAACCGACGTCACCTCGTAAGTGGTTGAGTGTGAAAGTCCGTGAGGACTTTAAATGGTGTAAATGTAAAGGGGACAGCACTTTTACTGCCACATATACCTTCACAATTTTTTATACGTTTTACGATCTGATTTGAACATCTTCCAGGCTCTTTCTTCATAAGATAGGTCATTTTAAATAATATTTATATAATACAGATTTTTGTCAAAATAGTATTGACTGCATTTTTGTGTTTTTGTCCATCTCTGATCTCTATGGTTTTAAAAGTATTCCTTTTAATTTGACAGTTTGAACGCACAGACTGACATATCCTGTGACACGCCTCTTCCGGGTGATGCCACGCCCCCTAAACCAGATCGGGGCAAAAGTCTGAAATTGAAAAGATACATTCTGAAAATGAAAAAAAGATTTGCTCTCTAAGAGTTAAATATATCTTAATCGAGTTGTGTCTAAGACAGCTGATCAACAACATTTATAGAAAAGCTTCCAACATGTTGCTGATGCATTTTATGTAGACCACTTCAATTCCAGTTCCCCACATCAATATAAACAACAAACATTTCACAAATGATATTCTGTATTTTATTCAGGAATAAAAAATAGCTTTTCATAATGAATATAAATAGACTAATATATAAATTTGTTTTAGATATTTCAAAAGTAGACGTCTCATTTTCAAAAATATACATTAGAGTAAAATCATTTTTAACAGGTTTCTACAAAATGCTTTTGGACACGAAACCAAAAAGCCAGAGAGGTTCGTGTGTGTGTATTCAGGTCTCAGACTTTGAGAGACATTGCAGACCCGGCAGCCTCCAGCGACGGGCACTGCCCTGGATCCTCAGGTCCAACCATTCCCGCTGAGCAACCCCCAGAGCTACACTGGGAGCACAAAGGACAAACCGCAGGAGTTGCTATAGATCATCACAGCAGATTTTCTCAGAACTTATACCCTTGACTACTTTAAATAAGCCCAGTGTAAAAATAGGCCACGTGCTTCGAGGACATAGGGGTTCTCCTTCACTACTGGGTCCATGTAAGTTAAACGTACAGCCATCAGTTGTTTAAAAAAGCCAAATACTAATTTACAGCAGGGCATGAATACTAACATTTCAATAGGTACTGAAAGACAAAAACAACAACACTTTTGTTAGCCTAGAACCAAAGGGGTGTTGATGATTAGCTCGGAGATCGACGTTAGTTTGTGCTCTGTCTCAAAACATCCCAGGTCTCCTTGCAAGATGTCGCACCTCTTCATCTATTCACATTCATCATAGCGTGCACCTGAATTGTCCTCTTCGGCTTAAAGATGGCCTAAATCAGGCCATCAGGGCCTAAACCGGTCATTTGCTGCGATTTCGGTCTTTTTTTGGCGATCGCCACAGAGCTAAAAAACTGAAATGACGGTGGTGCAAAATCAAGTTATTTTGAGTGCACACTCAAAATAATAAAATGCTGAGGTCAATGTTAACAGGTATAGTACCTTATGGCTCAATAAAGTACACCCCGTGACTCACTCTCAATCAATCAGAATGCCGATTTCATCTACTGCATTAAAGAGGTTATTGGAAAGCTGTTATGTAATTCTAAAAATAGTTTGAGAATTGTTTTATTGTTGAAATAAATCAAATAAACCATTTATTTGCAATACCAAAAATTGTTAGCGGTCGAGATGATTCAAAAGAGAAGAGCGTAAATTACACTGTTATTTTGAAGTACAGACCAGTTTACAGGATATTGTCTGACCGTTGTGGCGGAGTGAAAATCTGTTCAAATATTGTTAAAAATAGCTACTTTGAACTTATAGGTAGGCTGGAACACTTTACATGTCAGGCGTTACATCTAAATTACGGACATTTTGTTTTATAAAGAAAAACTATTCTGTTGATAATGTTGATTCACTGTTAAACTCACTTTTTATTTTAACTAGTTACACATCTTCTAAAGGGAGGGACAGGCCTGGAGTTTGATTCATATTCCAAGCCATATCAGTGAGGAATCAAAAATATACCTTGGAGCAAGGTAAGGCTCTCCAGGACTGGAAGGGTTCACTGCAGGGACGTCGGCCGCCACAACGGACGGGTTAGACAGAGTCAGGTTCTCCCCCTCCACACACCTCAGGTTGGTGATACTGCTCCCCACTGCTGCATCAAGGCGGTCTCTGCTCCTTTTGGTTGGGCCTGCAGAGGCCCACATCGAGGTTACTGACACTCACCCTACCCATCTTTTATCAAACCAATCACCACGTCTGTTTAAATGAATTGAATGCTCATTAGGTTTGCTCAGCTGAATGGATGACATTATGATCCACCTTGAAATGTCTCCCTCACACCGCTTAATGCCATACACTTAATTCAAAGACAAAACATGTACTTAATATATAGATAAGTTAAATAACATTTAACTTACATAACATATTAGGCTACCTAACGGTGGGTCAGACAGTGTGAGGCAACAGAGGATGTCGCATGTGTACACACTGTAAAGCCCTCTAACACTCATTTGTAATTTTGGGCTCTACAAAATAAAATGAATTGAATCAAGAATGATTGAAAAAAAGTTTTAAAAAGTGTCATCAAAACACAGACAAGTGCAGTAACAAGTGGAATGCTTCAAGTTTGAGTTGAGAATGCGTCAGATGTTGAAAATTGTAGCTGATTGATGTTGGAGCAGAGCCCCAGTGAAGGACACGTGCACGTCCTGCCCTGTGCAGCCAGCACGGAGGTCACATTAAAGAAACCTTTGTTTCCCGTCCTGGATTAGTGTCGATGGTCTTCACATAACTACTTTGTGTACAGTAAAGAGCCCTGGTTGACCGCATCTACTTTACATAAGCAGGAATATTAAGTGTCAGTGAGGTTTGAAATATGGCTGGATGTGATACTCACAGCAGCGCGTGAAAGGCTCCCAGGCTCTGGACTGCAGGTACGGTCTGGCCTGTGGCTGCTGGAGCAGACACACCACTGCTGAGTCCACTTGTTGAAAAACTCTGCAGACAGAGAGAAGGATGAGCCGACCCACTAACACAAAGGGATGTGGAATATGAAACACAAGACCAGGTTTTCTTCACCGCGGCGTTTAAAATATCTGCAACAGGGTTCACAAACTACAATTTTAGGATTTAGGATAGTGAGTATGTTTCAGCTCTTTTTACATAGCCTGTACAAGGAGCTTGGATTGCATCACATTTGTTATAGATCATCTATGCTGAGTACATATGCTGAATATCAGAGTACCTGAGGCTGAGCAGCCGTTGGTGGAGTTCAGCCGACAGGCCGTATTTGTCTGACTGGATCAAGTCTCTGATGGAATCAAAGTCCTGCTTCAGCTGGAGGGCTCCTTGCACACTGAGGAGGAGCGACAGGACACAGCATTTGGGTTGTCTAGTCTTTTAGTCCAGGTAGAGTCTGAGGTAAGTTAGGTAAGCAGATTTGAACAGATGGGATCGAAACCACAGGAAGGGATGTGCACTCATGTGTAGGCTGGATACCTTTAACGATTAGCCTACAGTGCCCACCACCAGGGCTTCCTAGACTGATATTCTTACCGTGTAGACATCGATGCATGACAGTATGAACTAAATGTACCTGAATTTGATCCTCTGTTTCAGGATGTGTTCCATCCACGCCTCCATGAAAGCGGTCATTGTTATACTGAGCGCTTGGATACGGGCATCATCAGACAATGGTGCCACCCCCTCTAAAACCTGACCGATCACAGTCTGAGCTGCCAAAGACGCGTACTCACTGGGACAACTGGGAAAACCTGTGCAAACAGAGGAATACACAATGGTCAGTACAAAGTCAAATGTACCAATAGTCGGGTGGGCCATCCCTGGAAGCCCACCACTTTGGTTTTGTAAAACAACTTTCTTTTGAAAAAAATGCTGCATACATAAACTATATTGTTATATTTATTTTGTATTCTCATTATTTTGACCAACGCATCAAGCTGCTGCGGAGTGGGTGCTACATGGGATTGTTTGTTGTAGTGCCTTACTAAAGAACATGCGAGTTAAAGTGTGTGTGAGTGGAAGAGTGCAGGCCGCTCTGCAGGGTCATCAGCACGCGGCCTTCATCAGCAGACCAAACATGCAACGCACTCCTCATCGCTCCCATTCAAAGACCTTGAGAAGGTCATCTGGGCCTTCATGGTGTCCAGCGTGGACTCCTGCAGTACCCTGTATACTGGCATCTGTCGCTGGGTCCTGTCCTATACGGAGCTGGTCCTATGCACTGTAGCCAGGCACCAGACAGGTACCCAGGAGGAATTATGACTCAAGGTCTGGATATAAATGCCACCGCTAGACGTACTCTGGTTGAAATTACACAGCAATTTTAGATCATTTTATCTGCAAGTTTTTAAATCCATCTGCATTAGTCATTTTAACTATTTGCATGTAGTTATGTTTGCATACGGGGTTAATTAGTTTCCTGCCTTATTTTGATCAGTTGCTCTGTGAGTGGTGCGTCTCCATGATCTGTAGGTGCGCCGCGCCTCCCCTTCACAAGCCTGCAGTGGTGGATGGACAGGAGGCAGTCCGGGGTTCGGGCAGCACAGAGGTCGACGGGCAGGTTTGATCTCCAAGTATTTCAAACAGTTTTCAATTACCGAACGTTTTTACAAATCCACCTGACAACTATATATTACACACAACTATATGTGTGTAATATACAACGCTCCTTATAACAAGCCAAAGAATGTGTTCATTGGACATTGTCAATGTGTCTTTCAGGTGGAGTCCTGTATGCACAAATGACCCTTAGAAGTGAATGTACTGTACATTTTACATACAGACCCATCCAACATGGACTGGTGTTCCTCTGATAGAGGATGTGTGTCTGGTGGTAGTGAGTTTCTACATGGACTGAGCACTAACAACAGTACCGGTCCTGAGACTGGGTCTCCAGTGTACAGCAGAAGGCATAGTCTGTTCAAAGATCTCCCCTGACATCCGCTTGCAGTCGCTGGAGAAGGTCTTCAGCACCAGAGAAGAGAAGGTCTGGTGGAAACAAGAGTGGCATCACCATCAGTGACTTCCACATTCTTTGGTTTCAATGCCACATATATGCTGGCAGAATGGAAGAAAGTTGAAAATACCACGTCTGTTTGAAACATTATGTTGTGCTAACTTTATGAAATTTTTAGATGCAATGCTTTCATTGAGTGTTTCAGATGATCACACACAGACAATTTCAGCCTCCATATTAAAATGTCTTCAATAATTTACAATTGAAGGAATTAGGAGATATATATGGAGCCAAATCCAGGGCAAAAGTTTTGTTCATTTAAAAAACAAATGTGAACCGGTTTTGTTGTTGAACATTGAAAAATACAACAATGTATTCAAAATTAAAATAAGTGGACTAAGAACTATGGACTATATATATATTTTTTTTTTCAATCTTCACATATATATATTTTTATATATATATATTTTTTGGATATTCATGTATATTTTTCGGTTGCACATTTTATATTTTCAGATTCAAATCGTATCGACATTCAAACAGAGCTGATAGAATTCTCTCTCATTCTAGCACGAACAGTCCTTTGCTATAGTGGTGTTAAACTTAGGGTAAGCGGGACAGGTCACCTGCAGCTCGGATAGAGTCGTGTCCAGGGCCACGAGTTGCTGCATCAGCAGAAGCTGGTTGTGGCTATGAAGAGTGGAAGGCTGCTTCCTATCTAAATTCATCTTCAGGGTCTTCGTCTGATGCACCATCATCTCTATTGACTCTCTCAGCCCCTGCAGGGAAAGAACACATGACAAAGTCTTTTACAAACTGGTGAGGATTTCATTTCAGAGCTAACGGGCGAACCGTGTGACTAGGGAACAGAAATAGAATCCCTTAAAGCTTGATAACATCCACATGTCACTCTATCCTGAGGGCAGTACAGGAGTACAGTACTATAGTCTTGTGTCTTCAAGTTCACTGTTGTGCACATGTCTAGTCATTCCTGTAACTTAAATACACGTTATGCTTGATATAAATGAGTAACCTACTTTGAGGTCTCCCTGTGTGATGAGCAGGAACTTGTTGAGGCTCCATGAAGAGAGGAACTGGTGGGCCTTGGACATGACCCAGACCCTGGACAGCTGCACTGTGGCTAACACCAAGCTAACCGTGATTCTATGGAGAGGCAGCCTGGAAGGGGAGATGCTAGAAGAACCTGAGAGGGAGAGAGGGAGTAACGGCTCAATGGACGAAGATCTAACAATGTAAGCAATACATGAAATCTCGAAGGAGCAGTGCAGTTGTTGCACCCTGGTCACAGCTGGCCTGGGCTACATGTTATTGGCCTCAGCAAAGGGTTCATTATTCCGGACAGTTTGGCAGAGCTCCAAAAGGCGGCTTCATAATTTTTCTCAATGGTGCCTGAAGATGAGCTTGGGCTGGGACGGTGGTGTCTCAGTGATGGATCGGGGGACATTGCAGGACGGGATGCTACTGCTGGGATTCAGAAGCTTGGACAGCCTACCAGTCACCATCTCCTCCTCCTCTTCTTCTTTTCTCCATGATATGAACACAATTCACTTTTTTTCAACTAGGAGTTGAGTGCAGTTATTTTGCTGTTATTTTCACTAATGGAATATATATATATATATATATATATATATATATATATATATATATATATATATATATATATATATATATATATATAAAAACTTTGAGGCTATCTTTCAGATCTCCTTGCCATACCTTTTTATAAAACCATTTTCATTTGGTACAATTTCTTCTTTATCTCAGTGACTGTTGCATTTACAGCCCTGGTTATTGTGAAGTCTAGTTAGTGATGGACAGGTGTCACTGTGGATGGTAGCTGCTGTCATCCGTGTGTGAGTGGATGAATGGTGATATGGAAGAGATTACAAAAGAGAAACATGTAACATACTGGGGTATTAATTATGCTAAATTACAATTGTCATGAACGCACCTCATTTATGCACACGTGCCATTTACCTAAAGTCAAGAACATTTGCTGTCTCGGACGTGGCTCTATAAGACGACTGTGGGACAAAAAGTAAGAGAAAGGTGCTAACACACAGCAGAAATGTCCCTGCGTGTTCCTACCTGACTGAAGGCAGCTCAGAGAGGACAGGAGAGGAGGGGGGAGCAGCAGGAGGTGCTCCATAGTCAACGACATCATCACATTTGCATCTTGCTCCGATGGCGGCGTTGCAGAGTTGCTACTCTGACTCACAGGGGAAAGACACTTGTCCTTCAGAGCTGAACCTAAACTTCTGCACACCTCTAAAGAAAGACAACATGACAAATATCAAACAGAGGGATTCAGTAGTATGTGCCGAGTGAAAACCACTAATCCAAGATGGCTACAACGCACTGTAGTGGGGAAACCAAAACACTGCATCACAAACACGAAGGCTAAACGAGACGGCACAAAGATGTACTTATGTTCCCGCTGAAAGGACATGCGTGTGTGTGTGTGTGTGTGTGTGTGTGTGTGTGTGTACCAACCATAGTCCCACTGAGCATGTGCTGTAATAACTAACAGATGGAGACAGAAGTCATCCAGCATGGTGCTGCACTCCTCTGGAACCAGATCTACAACAAACATCAACAAAGACCCAAAGCATCATGAAGACAATTCCACTGACAAATGGTTACATTGAGTGTATATTTTCTAATGGCATATATATATATATATATATATATATATATATATATATATATATATATTTATATATCTCAATCTGCCAAGATAAGTCCCAAACAGACACCTCTAATATATATTGTCATTGTAAGATGAGGGCTTGTTCAGAACTGAGCCATGGGGAAGTGTCACTGGAGCGACGGCCAAGCCCTGGGACACACACTTCTAGGTCCACCATGTGGTGCCATGGGGCCCAGAAATACATATTCTCGTTGAAAAGCTTTGCTTTTAAACACTTAAGAAACAGGAGGTCTTAAAAATCTCTTTGCAGCCCAATCAAATAGTTTACTTGATGTTCAACGCAGTAGTCCATTTATAGGAGATATGAGTTTACAGATGACAACAATCCATCATCTGTAGCGGAAGTTGCTTGGGGGCTTTTTTGTGGTCTCCTGGATTCTCAGCTGTTCTGGTTTGTACGCCCCCTGGTGTTTCTGAGAATAATGCCACTGAAGGATAAAGGCTGTGGACGTCTATGAACAAACGCTTCACAATTCATTCATCTCCTCACCAGTCTTGGAAGCCCGACTCAGCCTGTGCAGGATCTGGAGGCCCCCGTGTTTGTCTTGGAGGTTGATGCTCCCCTCGCGGTTTCCTGCTTGGGGCGCATGCAGCTGCAGCCACAAGGCCTTGCTGCAAAGGGTCCACAGCAGGCTGCGGTACTGTCCGAACAGATCCACAAACAACAGAGACTGACCCAGGTCCAACCACTGGACCGAAGGAGGCCAACGAAGACTGTCCGGCTCCACTGCGGTCTCCTCATTTGCCACGTCTGCATCCCTCCCGGTTCCTGGGCTGAAGGACACAACACAGCAGTTAGTACACATGGACCTAGAGTGTGGTCACATGAAGATCAACACAACACATATCTGAACAAGACCTGAAACCCCTTAAGCGCACAAGAGTTTGAGCTGTTGGTATTGAAAACTCCAAATAAGTGGATGTGCGCTGAAAACCTGTTTTATGTAAAAAGGTATTTGCGCAGCTCTGTAAATAACTTTAAATGACTTACATTACATATGATACATTATATCAACAGAATAACAGAGAATAACTGCACCAGATATGCTAGTATAGTTTTATATATCTACTAAGTTAATATGGCTGATAACACAAATATTTGGAATAAGACCCAATTCAGAATAGCCAAACCGATGTTTGCATTACCCATATAAAATTTGGAATATTGAGATATTATTTTATGCTTATTCGTACGGATGTGAAGTCAATGTTCTAACTAGCATCTGTGTTTTGTGTCACATCTAAACCTCAGGGCTAAACTTATACAAGGAAAGACATTTTCAGCTGAATCAACTTTAATGTCCACAATGTGTAAAATGCACTAAAAGCGGATTCCAGATATATAATATACTGTTGTTCATGCGAGCGAGCCAGAGGAGGAGGGCCGGGAGGCGGGTGTCAATAGAGCACCAACAGCGGCTGGGTGGTGTTGGCGTTACCGGACAGCAGCTTCTGACCTGGTTGGTAGTTTCAATTCAGCACATTCCTGCTGAGGTCCTTCCACATTTCGGACGTTGCTCGGCTCTGACCTGTGACCAATCCGGCCCATTGAATCAGCGGAATTCATCCTGGGAGCATTTAAAATCATCTGGTCGGTCCTTCCGTTTGGTGATAGCACATCTGTCCTGGCATCTGGGAGCAGTGGTTGAGGTGGAGCCTCCGGGGCCGGCGTATGGGACACCAGTGGAGCCAGCAGGTCATTGGAGGAAACTAGCACCTGAAACAAGAGCTCTACACAGGAAGGGTCCTGTTGGCAAACCCCTGACGGAGGCGGGGCTGAGGGGTGCTGGGGGGTGCTGGTGGTGGAGGGGGGTGAAATGGTCTGCAATCTTTGATGGTTATCTAAACTTTCTAGATTTGTTCGACCCAAGTCCAAAGCTTCCATGGTCTGAATTAGACCCGTGTGGGATGTGTGTGTTTGGCACTGGTTGGTTTGGGCCTGGTTAGAGCCCTCGGGTCTGCTTTGGACCAAAGTGGCCTTTGCTAACAGAGGATGGTGGTGCTCAAAGACAGTACTGTCCAAATGAGGCTCAGGGATGTAAACAGTTTTGTGACACGTGTGACTAGACGATGACCGCTGATGAATCAGAGAGGAAATGTGCTGCAGCTGCTCCCAGGACCACTCGGGTCTTAGTGCAGAGGTCCCAGAGCTGGATCTGGGCCCCCGGCTAACGGCTTTAACAGAACATGCGTAGGCCTCGTGGTTGGTGTGGACCTGACAGACGGGACAGCTCTGCTCAGAGGCACAGCTGTACAGCTGCTTGGCTACCATGTCTGCTTGATGCACCGCTAAAATCCTCATCAGCTCTTTGACGGTGAAGGCAGCAGGGTGTCGCCCTCTGCTGTTTGGAAGACTACAGTCCAGTGTGGACAACTGCGCCCGCTGTAATGCTGCAGTCCTCAGCTGGGCGGTGCTGCGCTGCACTCTCTGTTCTCCCACTGCCTGGTTGTACAGGTCTGTTCCAGCTAAAATATCCTCCAAGACGTCTCTCGGCACAGAGTCCAATTCGGCCTGGGCTATGGCACACAGAATGACATGCACGTAACGTTCCATCAAAACCAGTGCCTGCAGACCGAGTAAGTCCAGAGTCTGTTTGATTTCCCCCAGCAGCCGGCTGTGCCGGATCAGAGCTGGTCTGAGGTAATGGTCAGAGCGGACCTTTGAGAAGAGACAAGACCAGTGGTTGAGATGGACCCGCAGCTCCTGACTCAGGGAACCGAGACCAACGCTGGATGAAGGCCAGCAGGACGGTGTCTGGGGAGGAGAGCAGAATGCTTGTGTTACTGGTATCATTTCTAATCGGTACAAACAAGTGCACCAGATACTGTACCCTAGTCCAGGTAAGAAGCCAGAGGTCATAAAGAAGAAAATCATAAAGAAGCTTTTTAACGGGTTTCTGTAGTTCATCCGTACCTGCTGGAAGGTCCGGTGGGACTCCTCCAGGAGGTGGCTCATTCTGGACACGTAGGCTGCGGCTAGGCGAGCCCTCCTGCTGTACTCGTGTATGAAGAGCAGCAGGGAGCGCTGCTCCAGCAGCCTCCACAGAGCCGTGTAGTGCGCCTGTAGGACGGAGGAGGAGGCCCGCAGGAGAACACCCACCTCGGCCGGGACACCTTTAACACACACCTGGAGGAAGAGAGAGGCGGGTTTGAAACGATGACATCTGTTCAAATTATGACAATAGTTATTCTCCCTAGTCACCCCAATCACCTTTACAACTAGTGTTCTTTATTTTACCAACATTTCATTTTATCCTTGTGTCACTTGGGCTCATCCTTGGGTTCAAGCACATGTCAGCGCTAAATTTGAAAATTCCCTCATGGCGTTCCACAGTTTACGATGCTGATGGACAACCAGAAATCACAACGTCTCCGAGGACGACATACAACTCGTATGTTTAGTCAAAACGACAACGAGGGAACTCGTGCAGTGGTGAGATCAAAACGCGTCCAATATGAAATCAGAGAAATAAAATGTGTGTCCTTTGTTTATCGCAATCATGAGGTAATCACACACATGAACACCTTCCCTGCACAGAACCCACCTGTGGAGATCCATTGAGAGCCCGGCTGACCGGCCGCCACTGGGGGGCCACGGTCAGAAGAGCTTGTTGCAGATGCAGCAGACGTGCAGAGGAGCGGGACACCAGATTGTGAGCGACCACAAAATGTCCCTCTGCCTCTTCCTCATCCTGACTGCGCCCGTGGAACAGCCACTTGAGACTGGGGTTAAAGGTGCTTCTGAGTAAAGACTCAGCTCGCTGCATGGAACGCGAGAGGGACCTCTGAAACCAGGAACCTGGGGAGACCAAACAGGAGGACAAAGTCTTCATTGACCATTAGCTCATCAACTGGAATTTTCAGCAGGTGCTGGACATTGATATTTAATATCTGTATGAGTTCTAAAACCCTTTTGTTGGTAGTGACCAATGCAAAACGATGTCCCTCTCTTTACCAGAGAATGCAGCGTACAAAAGCCACGGAGGAGCTGCTCACAGCTGACATAATAGATAAAGAATCGTTTAGTTTGCAGAAATATTCCAAAGTCGCAGCTTGTTGGACATCACCTGTATCGTATTTCCTGTTAGTATGACGCAGTAATGCATGGTGATTTGTGACACTTTGCATGTAGTACATCCTGTATAAATGCAGTGTGTAGTAGGATGTGGGACAGAGATATGTGCCATCGTCTAATCATAGCGGGACTCGATGACTTTGTCTTCATTTGCTGCCGTCACGTGTACACAGTACCATTAGTGGTCAGATCCTCGTTCACCATGCAGGAGGTCCTCTGAAAGACACAAAGGGACATCATCAATCACTCAATACGTTTCCTAGAAGAAACCTTCCATCACTGCTATACCAATTCAGTTAAACAATTTGGTCACGCCTCAAAATGTTGCAAAATTGTTTTTTCTGAGACTGGATTCAACTTTTCAAAAATTAATGTTTGAAAACTGTTCGGCCAACAATATCCTGCAGGTATGGAATTTAGCTTCACAGGACTGTTTGACCACGTCAGCGCTCTCCTGTACGGTGTCATCTGTAAAGCTTGGCGCCGCAGTTGTAATTTGATCTGGGTTTGTCAATGTAAACTGGCCCCTCTCCATTATTACCATTAATAGACAGATATGGCATCACATTAACAGGTATAAGGATCTTTTACTAAACTAACCTGCTCCTTTTCTGGACAGATGGACTCAGAATTCTCCCGGTCTGGAGGAGAAAGATAAATAAATACCACAATCCTCAGACAACATCAAAAACAACATGAATGACACTATCACCACTGGACCAAGCAAGACCAGATCTTTGATTACTTTCCCACCTGCTGTCGGCACAGGTTCTCCACCAGGATCTGTCAGAATCTCTTGGTGGTTGTGCTCCATCACAGAACATTGTAGCTAAGCTGTGAACAGACAGTTTGGACATCATTAGCTGCACGATACATTTCTCTTCTCCAGTCATCCTACCAGTCAGTGCTTTAACACCACATGTCACCATTGGCAGTGCGAGGTGCTCCCTGCCCATCAGTGACTGACATTCACACGTCATAGGCGCAGCTACAGGGGGGCATTTGGGTTTAAGCGTCTCGCCCGAGGACACAGCGACATGGAGCCAGGGATTGAACAGACGGTCCTCTTGTTGTGGTGCTCTCCACTGAGCCAGTGGCTTGGTAACAAATGTAAAAATGAACATGCTGCACAGCAATGCGGTGTTTGATCACAGTCATAACATTTCATTCACAGCATAAAAATCACATGAAGTCTGCAGGTGCCTCTTTAAAGTTGACACGCTTTAATGATAAATTTGAGGTACTTTTTCTGGAGTACTTCCATTGTATGAAAATGTCTTTCATAGGGAATCATTTTTTCTTTTTACTTAATATCATAATATCACAATGTAAAGTTAATGGTCACAGGTGCATTGTTATGGATAAAACCACCAAAACATTATATAAAAGTACTTCGCATTAACTTTTCCTCGCTCCACACCAGGACCGTCACCGTACTCGTCGTGGTGCATCTTTAGATAATCGCCACGCCGAGTAAAGGACACAAGTACCTCTTCCACGAGAGATCGCCAGTCTCAGTTTTGGGCTCGGCCTTCCCTTCTGCCCGAGATGTGCCTTCGCATCACCGAGGCGTACCGTTGACGGTTGGGGCTCCCAGGACGGACGGACCCGGTGCAGGTCTCGATGAGCGGGGGGCGGAGGAGACGGGGGTCCCCCTGCTGTTCAGCATCATCAACACATTCTCACCGGACGACTTGACGGAATAATGGTTGGACCACTAACTTGTCTTCACTCAGTTGGTTTATCCAGTTACAGTCTCAGCAGCAGCACATTCAGCCCATTTAGATACGACCAACCGTATCTTTTTTATCCGTATCCAACTGGTTGCATTCATTACATGCCGTCAGTGAAATGGCCGCCGAAAACCAAGTATCTTATTATTGACTTACTCCTTTTCGAAGATTGACTTGTTAATCCACTGCTCACGAAGGCAGTGCGGTTTAAAATAGCATCTGCTAACGACGCCAGAAAAACAGCAAACACCGGATATCGTAGCAGCCAATCACGACAAAGCGTGCACGGTTGTTATGACGTCTATTTCTTCTTCGTGTGTCGGTGGACGTCCGGCGGACCACACGGCGCTCGCCCGTTGCTGCCCCCAGCGGCCAGTGTCAGGCTGCACGTCAGGTTCCTCATTCTAGAGGCGCAGGTGTCACATAAAGCATTGCTCTTTGTGTGTTAGTTGCTTTGAATTAGTAGGTAAGCACCCAATGTCTCAGCGCGGTCAACAAGTGAACGGCTTCTTTCAATCCCTAAATAATGATTGATGTGGTTTATTTATCGCGTTTTAAATAGACAAACAATAACAGCCCTGCTTTTCCTTTTCTCCCTGTTTCTGCTACACAATTCTTTTTACTTGGACATAAACTTTATTCATCTCAAGGGGACTGGTTGTAAAGCAGTTACAATGTAGAAAAAAGTGCAAATAAAACAAAATATAAACAAGTTTATCAACATGAATGAAACAGCTAAGGAATAAAGTTGTAGCTCAATATGTAGCCGGGTTAGGTTCTAAAAAAATATTCCAAGCTTTGAACATTTCACGGAGCACCAAAAAATCCATCATCAAAATATGGAAAGAACAGGACAGAACCGCAAACCTACCAAGGCCGTCCACCCAAACCGACAAGGCGGACAAGGAGAAAATGACAGCAAGAGGCCCATGGTTACTCTGGAGCAGCTGCAATGATCCACAGCTGAGGTGGGAGAATCTGTGCACAGGACAACTATTAGCCGTGTACTCCACAAAACTGGCCTTTATGGAAGAGTGACAAGAATAAAGCCACTGTTGAAAGTAAACCATACGAATTCCTGTTTGCAGTTTGCCACAAGCTATGTAACATGTGGAAGAATGTGGTCTGGTCAGATAAGAGCAAAATGGCAAACCCAACACTGCCCATCGACCTGAGCCACATACAGGGATCAATCATTGAAGAAAATATGATGCAGCCTGCTAAAGACTTGAGACTGTGTCGGAGGTTCATCTTCCAGCAGGACAATGACCCTAAACATACAGCCAGAGCTACAAAGGAATGGTTTGGATCAAAGCATGTTAATGTTTTTATATGGCCCAGTCAAACCAAGTACTATGCATCTTGTATTGATCACATGGGAAAAAATATATTTGAATTCCAGTTTGTGACAAAATGGGAAAAAAGTCCAAGGGGGTGAATACCTTTGCAAGACGCTGTACATGACAGCTTTCCCACACTTCCTTTGCAGTTGCAAACCAACCCTGGCTGGGCAGATTGTGTGTGTGTATTGATAAGGTGGGCGGGTTTATGACCTTGGTTCATACAAACATCAGTGACTAAATGAGGTATTGCACCTGGGTAGTGTTTGAGAATATGTTCCACAACACAAGGCTTCAGGACGACAGACACTTCTGTATCATGATGGTACACAACACATCTACAGCCGGAGCTGGATTAAAGTTTGGGTTCCGCAGATAGCAGTGGCACAGCCAGTGGAAAGCTTAGCTGCCACGACTTGCTCGCGCAATTGCCGAAAATTGGGACAGTTATAACTTGATCGGTCACTGATATTAGTTACCGGTACCACGGCATCTGTCACTGTTCGGGACAGTTGCCAATTATAAGGACAGGTACATGGTAGCTGCTAGGCTACTTCCATCTCAACATCTACCCTGATTACTTGTTCACTTATGTTAATTTATTTATCTAGTCTTTAGAAGAAAAACAGACTTTAATAGCGACAAATTAATTTAAAAATGTGAAATTAATTAGTATGTTTTTTTTAATCTATTGACAGCCCAATTTCAAACCTTATTTTTCCCATTTTTACAATATTTTGAACAATATTTGACAACATTTGAATTAATCATTTATTAACATAAAGTGGTTTGATTCCAGATTCACAGCTATTGCTCATTCTGAAGCAAAAATAAGTGGTTAAGCACCCTTATAAAACACTGATCTACACACAGAGCCATTTTTTTCCAGATCAAAGCACATTTATTTATGGAGCACATGTCACAAATCATATCATTCAGAGTCATAAAGTAAAGACTAGCTGAGATCAAGGTCAAGCTTTATTGTCATTATACAATACACGATTGTCCAATGAAATAAAGATGTTGCCCAATTCCAAATAAACAACTCACCTGCAATCAGCCATCATACAGAGTAAACCTACCAGAAAATAAATGTAGCATATTTGTGCTTTGCTGCAGGTAAAATATAGCTTACATTATTCCTCCTAATTGATGCTCTATCTGTTACACATGCTAAAGCAGGAAATGTCAGCATTAGGTACTTTATTGAGTCTATCAATTTAAAATTGCTCTGTATGATTTCCAAAAGGATTCCTTATCTGAAAAACTGGTGGTTTTTAAAACGCTTTGCTGGTTTCTGGAGAAACTTTGAACTTTCATCAAAAATGGCAGGAAACGAGAGGAGAGGTTTACATTCAACAGCTTCAAGGCTACAATTATTCAGAAATCCGTAATACGGTTTTCCCCTCGTCCAAAATAAGATGAGGTGACCTTTACCCTAAAATAAGAATCTGCTTTATTGTTTGAGTATGTGAACGCAGTGGTTTGTAATCTAAGTCCAGCTGACATGTTATATATTTAACTTTTAATGATTTACCAGTAGTCTTATGGGTGTGTAGAATTCTTTTTTTACCCCGGTCCATTTCAGAAGGTGGAATGAGGTCACGGACATTTTAAGGCTTTGAGTTTTCGGCCCTTAAGAATTCCCTAACTATTTCCCTAAGTTTTTCAGCCTGCTTTATCTCCTTTCCATTACTTTTAGATGCTTTAATATTCTTATTCTTCCCAGGAGATCATTTCTAGGAATGATCAGATGCTCTGAACACAGAACTCTTTCATACTTTAGTCCCATAGTGCGAGCAGTATTCCTAACATTCCCATACAGCAGAGGGTTGTGGGTAGGGATGGACCGCTGGAGCCATTTAGGAAGTACTCAACCCGAGACCAGGATCCATTATTTGGCAACGGATTCACTCCCAACGTCCAGCACATCACGTTGTAGATGTCCACCACTCGAATGGGAGCTGCCCGGAAATTTTGCTTAAAGTCTGAATGAAGTACATGTAATTAGATCGACAACTCAAACTAGAGAAATAAATTTGAATGTTGACAGCAGAGGTTATTTTCAAGTCATTACGGAAAATACAGAAATCCTAAAAAACTGAATAGTAAAACTGGCAGAGTTGACTCTTTGAGACCGGAAGGCTAGATAGAAAATACTGATCAAAGGAACAAAATGCACAGATTTCTCTATTAAAATATGACTTGTTTTTACCAGGTCCTGTCGCCAAGAAAATCCCTCTCATGTCGAGGAACTCGTTGTCATAACCATGCCAACCATTCTGCCATGCTGACGGCTCCCCAGAGTCGTTTCCCCAGTAAGGGAGTTTTGCCTTGTTCTAGGGACACACAAACAAAAACGCACACACTAAATGAGTTTAACAAGGTGTGCAGTTAGACTTGAATGGTGGAAACCGGACCAATCCACATGTGATGCAGAATAGCTACTGACTTTTCTTTAACTGTGACTTCATAAGTCAAGTTAAAGGTTCTTTAACACACTAAAAATAAGTTACGGTGAGGTTATAATGCGTGTGTGTGTGGTTGTGTGTGTGTATAAATGTTACCTCAGTGATAAACCAGCCAGGATCAGCCACCAGTGTCAGCGGGGAAACAAACCTCCCACCTTTGAAGTGGAAACGTTCAGGGATCTCCTGTCTGGTATAGACACGCATGTTAGGGACCTGGGAAAGTGCAGCGTGCACCTGGAATAACACACACACACACACACACACACACACACACTGTTACGACCCCGCCCTTCATCTGCTCGCCTGCCGGCGGCGGTGGCTTCCCGGGAGAGCGTGGGAGATTGCACACCCCTGTTCCCTGATTGCCTCTTAATTGTGGAGAGGATTTCCCCTCTCCACGGCCCTTCCTCCAGGGGAGCGACTGCCTCTGGAGAAGTCACTTCGGCCTTTGTTTAGTTACCCAACTCATACCAATCTATTCTCTCCCCATTTGGATTAGGATAAACTATCCTCTTGCACTCATTCTACACACTCACCATGTCTTCCCTTCCTGATTGTGTCCACGTATGTCTTGTTGACCCCCCCTTTGTGTACTGAAGTGGCGTGCTCAGAGTTATTTGTTGCCAGTTCGTCACGTGTCGGCAGCCTTTATCTCAGGCCTAGTTTTTTGATTAGGTCTATGACTCCGGTTATGTTTTTTGGGGATTCTGTCTTTGCCTGACCCTCTTCTACTGTCTCCTTCCACTATTTTGTGTACCGAACCTTGCCTCTCATTGACAATGTCTACAAAGGAACTACCTGCGTCTTTCCCATCTGTATCAAGAGTTGTGCACTTGAATCCTCCTGGGACTATTCGTGTCACCATTATCTAATCACTTCGCACATTCGGATACACTGAATATAAAAAAGTGCTAATCTCTTCAGATAAACTCTCCTCACTAACAGCAACAGTGTCTAGACTCCTGCACTAAATATACCACATGGCAATGGGTCTAATCGCTGAAGATACCTCACATGTTATTGTGTAACAAATCAAAAAAGATTACATTACATGTCATTTAGCTGACGCTTTTATCCAAAGCGACTTACAATAAGTGCATTTCAGCCATGAGGATACAAAACCCAGAAGACCAGAAACAAGAAAGTGCAATTTCAACAAATATGCCGATTTACAACTTGCTATAGATAAGAGCCATTAATTAAAGTGCTACAATTTGTTTTTCAGTTATTAGAGATGCACCAATTTATCTGCCAAACGTTACCTGAGACAGGACACACCCTGGACTGGTCTCCCTGGACCAGTATATCACAGGGCAGACATAGAGACAATCAACCATTCACACACCTACAGGTAATTTAGAGTCGCCAACTAACCCCCAGAGCATCTTTGGACTGTACCCAGAGATACACGGGGAGAACATGCACTCCACACAGAAAGGGTGGTTCCAACCCATGACCTTCGTGCTGTCAGGCGACCGTACTAACCACCACTCCACCGTGGCAGGCTTACACAACTAGACTACTAGTTTATTGAGCATTTCAATTGTTAACTATTAGCCATCTTAAATTAACCCGATGATTCAAATCAATCTCAGTAATGTGTATATTTGAACCATTCTTGTAGTATGAATTGAACATATTGTACATCTTTTATGGTGTTGCATTCTGTCCATCCCGGGAGAGGGATCCCCCTCTGACGTTCTGCCTAAGGCTTCTTTCCTTTATTCTCCCCATCGAAGGGTTTTTCATTTTTTGGGGAGTTTTTCTATTGTCAATGGTTTTCAGTTTTTTTTTTGTTATATAGCATGCACGCTCGACAAATATGTCCCTCTCTATTGTTTGAACCGTACCATGCAACTGACTCTCGGCAAGTACCAATCATATGAATGTGTCAGTGTAGGTCAGTGTTTCCCAAATTTGTTCTGTCAGCGTTCAATGTTCACAATAGAGCTTGTAAGGCTCAGGGGCAGATATGCCTCGTTTCTAGCTTTTATCTATTTTTGGCTGTTGTTGAGGTAGTTTTTTGATTTGCGCTTGCTACCAGTCCCAAATCTGTCCATCTTTGTATGTTGCTTGTTTCCTTTATCTTATCCTTTCCTGTGTCGCACTGTCTTTTCGCTGTCTTTCTGATGCTGATCTCCCTCTCTCTCCCATCCTCTTTGCTGCTAGTTTGCTTGTAACCTTGCACTTATATGAACGGCATGTCAGTCTCACTGGTGGCATGGAGCACTCATTATGTCATCAACGTTATGGCAGTATAACCACGGCTTTTGGATTGTTCTGACCAAGTTGAGTAAATTGGTCAGAACAATCTAAATTGAGTTGATTAAGATCATACATTGCGCCGAAACCCGTATTGTAATAATAATAATTATTATTATTAGAGTATAAGCTGTAGCTTCAATTTGGAATGAAAGGATGAAAAGTCAACGAAGACGCTTCAGACATCTCAACACTGATTGGCCAAACTTGACACGTCACATAAATGATCTTTTATTGCGAAGATCCAAACATCACCTTTTCTCCTTTCCCCACTCCAATCTCAGAAACGCTGGCCGGCCTACATTACTGGCTTACCAGCCATGAACAAAGACGGCTCTTTCTCTCGTGAAAGGAAATACGGAGTGTGGCCTCACCTCTTGGAGCTTGGTAGCCTCGGGCCACAGACTGACTATTGGTCCTCTGTCCATCATCTTGACAATAGCTGACATTTTGATGTACTTGTCCAGCTCTATGACCTTCTCCATCCACTGGATCTTTGTCATACCATGGTCTGAAAATAGCATAATGTTCAGCTTGTTCACCATGTTTTTCTCCTGAAAGAATCACAAGAGACAGAAACAGATCAGAAATCAGAGTAGCACTAGGTTTAGTTGTAATGATAAATAGCAGGGATATTACTGACTTTAATTTTGCTGTTGAGCGTCTGCATCGCAAGATCCAGTTGTTGCACAGCTGTTCTGACCTGAGGAGACTCTGGACCAAAATGATGGCCCTCCACATCTATTTTCTCGTAATATATTGCTGCCATGGCCGCTTCACCTGAGCTAAACATACACACACAAAGACACTTCTTTTGGTATCTGCTGATATCATTAGTGCCAAACCTTTTGTCACTGTAACATAAACAAAGAAAACATTAGGACTATGCAATGTCTACCCTTTCAAGCAGGGGTAGGCTTACACTATCTTTTTGAGAATACCATCTACGGAACATCTGGATCTGTAATACTCTATAACAGTTCATCCCATTGACTTGTTGATATTCAGTACATGTCTGAACTATACGTCATTGTATTGTTACCTTAGGACATCCAGAGCATTCACTATGGAGTCTGTGAGGTTTTTCTCTGATGGGTTGTAGACATATTCCTCACAGAATGCTGGACGGACACTCAGAATCTCCACCTCACACCCTGAAGACATACAAGAGATTGCTGCATTATTTACAGCTTGTAGGTCGCTGATCTGGTGGTTCAGCACTAATACATCTTCATTTTAGGAATAAATAGAACAAGATTTAACTGCACATTATCAACTAGGGGCCTTTCTACTTCTACAGCCTTTCCCTGTGTTTCCTTTACCACTGAACAAAGGGGGCGCCGCCCCCCTCAAGCACCACCCCTACCAAGAGAGTCTTCAACTAAAAAAAACAACCTTTTTCTTTTTTCAACTGGTACAATTGTCCGCTCACGTGCATTGCATACACGGCCACACATGCAACCATTTCTAGCTGGTACAGTTAAGCCACACCTCCCACCCCTATTTGGTACCCTTATCCTCTAGACTTCATGGAACCCCTGAACCTCTAAGAAGGCAGGCTTGACGATTTGGGAGAAACCTCATCGATATCTTTGGCAGCGGTAGTAACAACGCTCCTCAGTGGCAATGTGCGCTTGATGAATTGTGGCCCTGAGATTCTGAAGGCTCTAGACTTTGTTTGGGAGTCTTGGTGGACACACCTCTTCAGTGGCCACTGAGCAGGATGCCTTCTGAGAGCATTTCCTGATGTCTTGACTGGTGGAGAACAATACATCTAATCCGCAGTGGGTAGTGCCTTGACCACCTCGCTTATTCTGTTTCCACAGTGACCCAGCACTGGATTAGCAGCAGAAAATGTATGGAAAGATGCTTGGTGACTGTACTCGAATGACAAACAGCTGTATTGATGAAAAAATAAATGTTTCTGCTCTGGCAGAGAAGCATTTGATCCACAACAGAAAAATGCAGACAGCGTCAGATGAGTGTTCAGGTTAACAGTGGCTGTGCTTACCAGGCCAGTAGTACATGAAGACCTTCTTTCCCAGTTTTTGCAGAGTGACCCACAATGGCTCTGATCCATTCCACCAAAGAGGCAACCGGCTGTCAATGTTGGTCCCAATGAGAAACTCCTTCTTGGAGTCTTCATCCCACATGTAGTTTCCAGTCATCTGATGAACGTCACAGTTACGACCTAACAGAGTATGATACAAATTTGAAAAAGCATAGTTTTAGTATCCAAAGCCCGATTATATTTCTCCATGCCACAGAGTTCCATTGTTGTCTAAATTCCCATCAGTTTCCCACACTTTACCATCACCATTTATTTTCAATGGACTCAAAGCTTCCACAGACACAGGAAGGGCATCTAAAAGGCGGACTAACACATGAAGCATCAAGCAAGTATGACTGGCACAGGGATAGGTGTTCTATGTGCGTGTGTCCGGTCAGGGATTCTTTCAACAGAACAATGTGCTCTATCAAAACACACATCAGCACATCACCATCAGTCTCCAGAACTCACATCCCGTTGTCCAGGATGGGCTTTTGTTTGTGGAGCTTAGTAAGATAGAGGACTCCCACTCCCACTCACACACACATCTCTTCTTCTATCTACGTGATTATTTTCAAATAATCTATTTTGATTATTGATCTCAGGAGAATCTTTGTTAATGATATATGATTTTCAGAACATTCCTCAGATTATCTGGCACATCTTCTGTAATGTAACTGCTGGCTCAACTGTGGAAGAGTGTGTGTGCGACCATGTTTAGCAGCCCAATGCCGTTTGCATGTGATTTTATTCAAGTAAACCCAGCTGATGTCTTCATCTATCTCAAAGGTCTGTGTTGGTGCAGGGATTTAACAAAGGAACCGAAGCAGGTTTTCATACACATTCCATAATCCCCATATAAAAATGCCGACTGATACTCAAATACATACATACATCACATTACATTTTAAAGTTCAATTAAAATAGTTGATTTTAATGTTTTATTTTTGCATTAGACGTGCACAATTGAGTATTGAGTTGTTACGTTTCTCCTCTACATTCGACATTCAGAGCTACGTATAGTAGGGCATCAAAAAATGAATAGCTTTGTGTAGATGTATTGGACTAATGTCTTCTAGAGTGGACAATGAGGTCCTCCGTACCTGTGTGTGTGTGTGTGTGTGTGTGTGTGTGTGTGTGTGTGTGTGTGTGTGTGTGTGTTATCAGAGCTTCTCTGTGCCTTGTTCTTGTATATTAATCTTTCTGTAGCTCTGCACTGCACTGATACAGCAGGCAACGCCGACAACGCCCCCCCATCCCTCATGTTTTCCCACAGTTAAACAAATCCCCACATGTAGTAGTAGGTAGGTAGGTAGTTGGGAACACATATAACAGGGCGGCCCTGCTGTTGCCGTGTAATTATGCATGGTTGGTCCCAAAGGGGACAAATTAGTGTCACTTAGTTTCACCCTGACTGACCAAATACACACAGCTTTTGAACAGCTTCAGTTCCCTGATCTGAGGCAAAGGGGTGTCAGTGGGACAGGACGTCACTGCCCTATGAGGGAGGGGTATCATCATGGGTGGGAGGGTCAGGATGACCACTCCAGGGAGTCACACACTTCATGTCCTGCATTCTTGAGGAAGGAGTGTAAAGCCCTCTGAATTCGGTCTTTGAAAATGTTGGGAAAATCAAAATAAGGTACTCTTCCTTAATTTTTTTAAATTCCTTTTATCCTTGATCTAGACTGTGAAGTATAAAAAAATGTGAGGTTTGTTTTTATTACATGAAAAGATCTCTCTTTCTGAGTCAGTGAGGAATGCCCGGCATGCTGAGTGGGGGAGTTCAAGGCTACATTCTCTTTCTCAGGGTTTTTGTATTTGCTTTTGCATTTTATCACTTTCACAAACCTTCACGTTCCCCTCTTATTGACGCACATAATATTGCGTGTGCGGTGGCATTAGTCTTATACATATCTACCTTGTTTACTCAAGAATGGGCTTCATATTGTGTCGATGTGAGTTCCCCTTTCTGCAGCCTAATGCACCTGCAGCGAGGGAGATGCCAACAGGATCTTTCATTCTAGGTCTGGTTCTGCAGCATGAGACACAAATGATTTCAAATCCAAATGGTAGATATCTACCATTATAGTCTGCTGCTCAGCACTGCACTCATGGAGCATGAATATTAAGGTCTTTAGGATATAATTTTAAGTGACAAATATGCATTTTGCTACTTGTGCTAGTGTGTATCTTTGTATTGTGTGTGTTCTTTTCAGTACTTACACAGCAAATTTCAGAGAGTTAAATTGAATGTGTGAGATTAAATTTGAACTCTGAGCTGGTTTTTAATATTGTCCCAATCTAGTCAGTGTTAAATCAACAATCAAAGAAGTGTTAACAATTGAACTTGGAATAAGTGTTAAATATACTGTAGGTATAGAGTTAAACCCAACACCAAGAAGTGTGACAGTGGTTACATTTCAAACCTATCAATGAGTTAATTTAGTAGTAATAGCAAACGCAGGGACATAATTTGGGGGGGGAACACAGGGGACATGTCCCCTGCACTTTTTCAAAAGCCTGTTTTGGTCCCCTGCTGTTTTTACTGACCAAAAACAATGTTACGCTATGTTACGGCAGCATATGTTTATCAAGAATATCTTGATACATTTTTCCATTCATCCTTCCTTCAATTATATGAAGTTGTGGTGTGGGGTGTGTATTCCGAAGAGTTGAATTATGCTTTTATCTGACCATATTCTCCCAGTCTAAATGTTATGCAGCAAACTCTAAACAAGCTTTGACATACTTTTTCTCCAGCAATGGAGTTAATGGTAGTCATGGCGGTTGAATGCATTACTTATTGTTTTCTTTGAAACAATTGTAACTCCAGGTCTTTCTAAAGCCCTCCACAAGTGGTCCGTGGATCTTGGACAACTCATAAATCCTCTCACTCCTCTGTCAGAAACCTCACGAGGAGCACCTGCATAATGCATAATGGTGAAATGATGTTCTTTCCACTTCCGGATTATGAGCCCAACAGTGCTCACTGGAACATTCTGAAGTTTTGAAATCTTTCTGTAGCCAATGTCATCAGTTGGTTTTGCTACGACAAGGTTGTGAAGGTCTTGAGACGGCTCTTTGCTTTTACCCATCATGAGATGTTTCTTATTTCTTATTATTGCTTCTGATAGATTTCAGCTTGTGTCTTTCCATGACTTTCATCACCTCCCTTTCTTCATGTGTTCAATACCTTTTCCTGCGTCATTCCATTTTATTACACATAACGTAATTTCTGAACTTATTTTTTCGGATTTCTTCTTATATATCAACTACTTGGGTTGTTAACAACATCTGGTGGAAGTGTCATGTGAATAGCACCTTTAGAAATATATTTACTGAGAAAATTGTGATGTGTTCGATACTTATTTTACCCGCTGTATATCTTTGTATTATGCTTTTCACCCCGTAATGTTTGTTATTGTGCTATCCTTGTTTTACTACAGATACAAATTAGCTTAAAGCTGAAACCTGGTGCATCAAATGGTGACATTTGTTTTGAACTCTATATGGTCCCTAAATAAATACATATATAATTTGCCCTGGGCAACTCTTTTACAAACGACTAAAAAAATACACACTGGCAGGCGAGATGATGAAGCTTGTTCTCCAGCTTACCCAACGTAGACCGTCTGTATCAGCGCTTCAAAAACGGCGTGACAATAACAAACACTTGGTGTGTGAAGCTGCTTCCCTCACACGCAGATGCACTAAGCTGCCCAGCAGCGCCCCCCGCTGTGCTTCCTCTCACTGCTCCTCCTGGTGGACACAGATGGTGTCGCAACTAGTTTCCATTTAAGGAGCAGGTTCCGCTTTCACGCAGATAATAATAATAATAATAATAATAATAATGCTGAGTCTGCCCGCGCATGTCTTACTGTTCTATCCTCCATTCAACACACTGTGAAACGGAGTCATATGATGAATAATTATTATCACGTGGTGCTGCTAGTGATGATCGTGATCGTGGGTAAACTACCAAGAACTAAAAGGTTCTTTCCCTCCAGTACAAGCCGGCTTCAAATGAAACAGATGAAACGCTAGAGGAGCAACATGGTCAACAACACACAGTCACGTCGGGACAGGAGACAACACACACACGCGCGCGCGCGCCAGGACATGTACGCGTATAGACAAAACACACACAGAAATACAAGTACGCACGTGAGTCAGCACGAACACACACACACGCACACAAATAGGAAAATACACAGTGATGGGTACAATAATGTTGTATTCACATGCATTCACAAGTTTTTACTTTGTCATTTTGATGCTTCGGCAACAGTTTTTAGACAGACAGATAGACGGCTTACCTGTCATTAGTGAGTAGTAATTGGGGTAAGATAAACTCGGGAAGTCCGGTGTCATGTAGTCCACTTTCACCCCATTGCCCACGAGCTCGCGGAATCCGGGCAGCGCGCGCAGGTCGTCCATGTAGTCATAACGGAACCCGTCGATGAGGAAGACGAGCAGCGGGCGGGCAGCGGCCGCCTGCCGTCCCGCTGCGAGCAGCAGCAGCAGCGGGACGAGACGGTGAAGCGCGGGAGCGCGTGCGAGGGACATGCTGCGCTGTGGTCACGCGCAGTATGGCTCCGCTCCCGCAGCAACGAGCCGTTACAGTCCCCCCGGTGGGCGGGGCTACCGGTTCAGCCCGGGCTGCGTGAACCGGCGGGACTCGGCTCTTTCTAAGATGTGTCAGTACCTCCTATGGGGGGTCAGATCAGGCTCAAGGACTGCAAATGCACACAAAAAGACTCACGAATGCAAAAAGAAGATTCACAAATACGCACAGAGGAATTCACAAATATATTTGATTTACAAATGCATTTCAATGCACACGTGAATAAATTACTATTGATATTTGTAGATGCATTTGTTTGCGGATCGCTTCACATGGGTGTGGGTTTTTGGAGACTCGTCTGATGTGAGTAGATGATGTGAGAAGTTTTTTTCAACTTTAGAAGATAAATAAGAATAAAATACAATTTTATCCTGGTGCAGATTTGCAAATTCAGTACTAAAATTATCAACAGGATGATGATGCAGGTGAACATCTTATTCTACACTTTCCTACAACTGGGACTGTACATGTCACGAATATATACTAGTAGTAAGTACAACGTTTCTTATATACAAGTAGGACATACTAGGAAACTTACTCAGGCAGTCTCCATGTTTTGGCAACGTTTTCTCTTTATTTATAAATGAAATACTCAACATGTAAAGACATCTGACAAGAAACATGAAATAGTGATCAGTACAAAGCACTGAATATTGAATTTTCTTAAGTGAATGAAGAGCTCTCTGATACAAACCACATAGCTAAAGAGTTCAAGGCCACTAAGAGAATGTGAATCAGGGGAATACGCTGGTGTCTCTACACTTACAGAACTATAGCCACAGCTCACTTGGCCTCGGTCATGAAGGTTCATGCGAGAGCTGGAAAGTTCTAGTATCCAGACAAATCGAGCATGGATGTGGACAGACTGAGAAGAAAATCATGACTCACTGACATTTCCGCAAAGGTTAGATTTGTAGATCTTAACTCCCAATATCGTTTTGCATAAGATACAGTTTGGACAACATAGCTAGTTGAAGACATGTACTAAACATTTGAAACAGAATAACATGCATCTTCCATTGCCACCTTTAGTATCAAACGAGTGAACCTGGTAATGGGTCCGTCTGGTTAGTCACTGTTATTTAGAGACTTTTGTAATCATCAGTATTTACAGCAGATGACAGTGTTGTTGACAATTTAACTTTAACCTCAAGTTAAGGAGCAGTCATTGCTGTATGAATCACATCACTCCATCATGTCTAGTGATACCATGTGGCTTTTTTCTCTGAGATCTCATGTAGCAATATTGACAGATATCCTGATGGCAGAATGTAACTGATGAGCACTGGTACTTCCGCTTTGAGCTCTTTCACTATCACCGCTGCTGCAAAAGTAGTGTCGTTTAGACAGGACCAAAAACATAAACAAGATTTTTTATTGTTGGGGTGGAGGGTGCAGAAAAGTCTCTTAGGGCGGTTTCAAAAGTGTGGGCCGAAGGTACTGCAGTCGCTCGAAACGGCTTTGTAGTCCATCTTGGGACAAATTCTAGTTTCGCCACTGCATAATGGCGTCACAAAAAAATTAATCTCCCGTCATTTTTAGCTAGCTGTCACGGTGTGGTTTACTTCATGTTATATTTTGTAGTTTTCTGCCACTTGTGTCCCCGGGTAACTTCACTTCCTGCCTTGTCCCGTCATCCCCTGTGATCGTCTTAATAGTTTCCACCTGTGTCCAATCACCTGCACCTCCCTTGTGTATTTAAGCCGTGTGTCTCCTGTGTCACTTGTCGCGTCATTGTCTTTTGTCACGCATGTCATAGTCTCTTGTTGTGGATGTCTTTAGTTTCTTGCCTGCAGTTTTTCCTCCCGGTTCCTGTGTTTTTGGCCTTCTGACTATTAAAGTCCTTTTGTTTTCCGCAAGTCTGCGTTTGAGTCCTGCCTTCCACCCCGCATCCGTGACACTAGCTTAGTGAAAGTAGAGTCGGATTTCTTTTCCGAAATACTAATGAATTCTCGTAACCATATTTCCTTGACCCCGTGACGTTTCCTATAGAGGTCAAGGAATAGTGGTTAGGAGTTGACTTTAGGAAGTCATTTTTGGACAATTCAAATCCAGCCCCAGCCGTGGCCCTTATCCGGTAGTGCCATCAACTGAGAGGGACATGTTATGAGTTACAGCCCAATGAAGACCTTCTTCAAACGCATTGCCTTCAGGAATCATCACTTTCAATACACACCATATCATCTTATTAGGTGGTATCAACCTCCAACAACTTTTATGTTTCCACCCTGGATGCAACATGACCTTTCAAACAGAGATGTGTAAGGGACATGAGCCCAAAAGCACAACCCAGAAACAGAAATGCAAGTAAAGTTCTTTTTAGTAGTGTTGAAGCAGGGTCAAAATGGGGAGGTCAGTCCAACAGGCAAACAAATCCAAAAAGGGGGCAGGCAAAAGATTCTAGGTTGAGTAGTCAGGCGAACAGGGTCAAAACAGACAGATCAGGAACAATATCAGGATGTGCTGGAGAGCTTGGCAGTAACAGACAATCTGGCAAGTATAAGTTAGGGGACCTAAATAGTGTTTTATCACAACATTATGGTACCTTAATGTATATATTATATATTCAAGCATTTTCTCTGAGATATTTTGAAAAGGTTTCTTAAGACAGCCATCCCGAGCTTTATTGGGGTGGTTGCTCACTCATTGCCGTAAAGGCTCTCTGTGCTAAGAGCGCTATGGCTTTAGGGCAGATAAGCCCTTCATAGAAGAAGAAAGTATCCTTTATTCATCCCCGTGCGGAAATAATTCTCTGCAGTGAACCCATCCCACACAGTGGGAGCAGTGTGCTGCCGTAAAGGCGCCCGGGGAGAAGTTAGGGGTTAAGTGTCTTGCTCAGGGACACTTTGACACGGGAAACGTAGCTGCCGGAGTTTGAACCGCCGACCCTGCAGTTGCTGGCGCACCCTCTCTATTCCACGCACCACAGTCGCCCCCTAAAAGCTGGAAAAAAGATTAGACATCAGGACCAACAATGTGGTCTGCTCACACACACCCATTTACCAATGTAGTGTACTAACAGGCAAAAACTAGTTTGCCTAATGTTGGAAAATCCCCCAAGCCAGATGGTTTAAATTGTTTAAAAAATCCACTGTAAAAGGCCATTAAAAGGGGAAATAAATGTTTAAATATATGAATAATGGCACACTTTCAGTCATACAAACATGTGAAAAACAAAAAAAACATCTGAAGTAAGAGGTTAGAACAATGCTCAGAGGGCAGAGGTGTGGTCTCTGTACCCAGAATCAGATCCAGGTGTGGTGAGGGTGCCTTCTATTAAAGACTGCTCTCTGGAACAAGCGGTAAAGATGACTCGAGGTCCTTTACATATATATGTCCAAATTCAAAAAGTAAGCTCCAAACTTATGGTTCATTACTGTGCATGTGTTGGTTTTTTTAGCTGAGTGTGCAAGGCGATAAAAGGCATGAAATGGTGTAAATACCGTCGGTATCAGGCCAGCCGTGTTGCTGGCCCACTTACCCGCCCCCACCATCGCCTCGAGGCAATGGGCAGCCGCCCTGCAGGCTGCTCACCGCACTGACCTCAACTCTTCTTCAAGGAGAGGAGCTGAATCACACAATGTAGGGAAGGTGCTATACAGATAGTTTATTAGTAATGTGCTCTTCATCACACTGGATCTGCATATGAAGCTCACATGTCCCTGCTCCACCCCTGGGCCGGCAGTATTGCGCTCTCATAAAACAGGTGAAACACATAACAGGGGTGTAACCAAACGTCGTTATTTTATTATCTTAAAAAGTAACACAATCCCAATAGGGTATCACATACACTACACTAACGGTAACACCAGTACTACACATCAAAGGGACTTTCAGATATTATAGACATTTTAAAAAATCCCTCTTTTTATTGTTTAAATTATTTGACTAGGCATGACAGATAAACATCATTTACAGGTATGACATACCGTCACCATTAGAAACAATGTTATTGTTGAACCTCCATTTTTATAAACCACCGCTGATGTCAAGGGAAGACATTTCATGGACTGTCAGTGTAGAAAAGGGATGGAAGGTTACAGGACTGTGGCTGGGGGACACATGGGTTTGGTTGATGGAGGGCCACTGGGCCCGTCAGTAGCAGGGGTTGAGGGGCGGGCAGTGAAGTCGTCAGGCATACAGGATGGAACCTTGCACCATTGCAGGGAACCAGTCGTTTTCCTGGCAGAACAGGGAGAAGAACTCCCCCCCCCCCCCCCAGAATTGTTCAATAGTGGTGAAACTCCCCCTTGAGGAGAAAAACTAAACCCCAGTTTAGTGGTAAAACCCAGATGAGGGGGACAGCAGGGACTGGAGCTGTATAGAGACTAGAAGCCGACTAACTATGTGCGTGTCTGCCCTCCCAAAAAAAAATCAACTTCACAACCTTTCCTAAAAGCATTATTTGGGCCAGAACACTTCAGCAATACGCAGTCAAGTTTAAAGCTCTTCTGGGCTTTGTTTGGTGGAAACATGTGTGTTGGGTAAGAACTAAAAAAACCTAAAACCTTCAGTAGTTGTGAGACCATGCTCACATTCCAGACTACAGGGTACAAACGGAAAAAACTTGAAGAATACTAACCTCTTTCCATCGTGGAACAGAGATTAAAAACAGGTAAATCGTAAAAAGCATAAAGTCTGAACCTGTGCTTGTACTGGTAAGACATGGCAGAGAGTTTACTGAGAGGAAGTGACTTTCATAGAGGAGATGTTTGTGGCGGCCAAGAGTTCAAGTTCCAGGAAAGCCAGTGAGGGTTTTCGTCGCCTTCACCTACAGTGTAATTAGCCGTGAAGGAAGTGAGACAGCTCAATGAGATCTATGACAATAATTAAAAAGCCATTAGGTCCTATCACAAATCAACTGGAGGGGAGAGCCACACGTATCCCGATATACACCGCCGTCGAACCAACAGCAGCTACACTACCGACCCACTTAAAGCCCAGTCTGCTTCAAACCAGGTGGAAACACTGGCTGTAGACAGTCAAACATCACGCCGCATGAACTAGTCGCTTTCTAGCATTCTGAGGCCCTCAAGGACAATTTTGATCCGCAGCGCTCATGCAACGCAACGTGTGCCCATGAGCAAATGGAACCTCCTGAATGGGACGTTTCCTTCTTAGTGCCAGGTCACAGCGGGATAGCTTGCATAGCTGTTTGTCAGGATATTGTGTTAAGCGCCTTATTGGTGAGAAGGCGAACGCTATTTGGGTTTAACTCCCTAACTGGGATCAGGAACAGAGGTTCTCTCTGCGGAGAGATCTTGACCACTAGAGGCTGGGAGGAGGAGGAGGAGGAGGAGGAGGGTGTTTGGGCTGCGGGGGTTGGCAGCTGAACCACAATGCCAACATGTACCATTAGAAGAACCTTGTTAGTGAGAAAGGGAAACAATAGGGAGTCCAGCACTTTGATGTGTAGTGTGTTAGTGTGTGTGTGCGAGTGTGTGCTGACATTCACAGGCTAGAGGCTGATGACAGTGAGATAGTAGAAAGGACGGGCTGTGTTTTTGCTGCTGTGGAGGTAGTTGTAGAGGAGCCTATCGGACGACAACACTGGGATGACTGACAGCTCCCTGAGCCTATGGAGGGACGGGAAATGATTGGTCTGTAGGACCGCAGTTTTTTTTCCCGTTGGGCAAATTGGGTTGAGGCCGACACATTTTAAGAGTGGTGTTCTTTCCCGTGTCCGTGTGCCATGGTCAGTCCGCCGCTGTAATCCCAGTCCTGTTCACCCACATGCTTCATAGAAGGGACTACATATGCCGGTGAAACCTTTTATACTGTCAGCATCTATTTACTATATTCCAACTCTCTTGTCACCTTTTTTATTATGACTATTATCACGGTTGTCACTGGCCATAATACATCGTAGCACCAGGAGTAAGAGCGGCTCAGGGATTCGATTTAAACAGTTTGAAGAAAAACTCGTAGCCATGAACTCAACAGCAATGTAAATTCATGGTAATGTGTGTAACTAAAGAAAGAATCAGATCAAAAAACAAAGTGTCGTCCCTGCTCGTTGTGTTTAACACTGTTCTGATTGAGTTATCTCAATCACCTCATGTCTCATATTCTCTGTTGGACGCTCAGCCACCTCAAGTGCCAGTACAGCCGCTCCCAATACACGCACACCTGGGCCGGCCTGTCACAGCAGCAGCGTCTATTTGTCTGATGGCAGCACTTCAAGTCAAACTACTGCCAACACACAGCGGTGTTCACGGGAAGTCAGCGAACAGCTCGGTTGTGAAACTCGACAGGGATGGGACTGGAACCCCTCATGTCCTCAGGCAGTACCCTGAAACCAAGGTGCTTTGTCTCTAATGTGGCTGCACCGACATGTTTCTGCGTTGGGACCATGAAGGTTCACGGAGGTCCTGCTGCTCCATGGCTACCTCATAGCTCCCCCCTTAATGAGTGATTCATCATCTGGTATCCAACCTTCAGAACAGCTGAGGCCTCACATGAGCTACAGAAATACTGCGTTAAGAAACGGGAACTGTGTGCTTTATTCTTCCTCGGCTGTACGTATGTTAGCTCACCATCTTAAATATAACAAGCGCCTGCTGACGTCTCAACCTTTTGTCCCTGTCCGTGCGTGTTCAGGCTGGTCTGCTTCCTGCAGAGCTAACGTTTCAACAGACGCGCATTGTGCAGCGGGCATCATGTGCACAAGCATGGCGGCAGTGAGCTGCACCCGAACGAACATTAAACTAGAAGGATCAAAGTAACTGGATTCTGGAACACATCCAGTGCCGTTTCATGTCAGCAGTGATGTGATACAAGTGTGACAGTCGTAGTGTATCAAGTGATCTCTGCAGAGCCCTGGCTGCTCCAAGATAATCTAACAATGGCCCCTTATCCAGACCCCCCCCGCTATTCATCAGTGGCATCCATTAATCTCACCTGTGTTCATCAAAATGATGGTTAGGACTTTGAAATGAGCGACTCCAGCTACCAGCATGATTACGTTTACATTTAGGTGTCACAGGCTATGACATCACACATCAGCACGACCTCATATATGAACCACGCCTGTGAAGTCACTCCAAACAAACAAGTAGTTCTGCTCTATGTACATGAAGACAAAGCCTAAAACAAAATGCAGCATGTCATTAAATATTAATTTCATGTCAACTGTCAATAAATAGGCATTTATACACTGTATATATAAACTCACTTATAATGTCTCAAGTATGTGTATACTGTCACCTCTCTGGTTTCTTTAATGTTTCTTTCAAATAGAATTACTGTTCTGTATCTGTGCTGCTGTAGTGGGGATGTCCCCTCAAGAATTAATACGGTCTCTTCTTGTGGCCTTAAGAGCACTTCTGGATTTTTATAATTTGTAGTATATTCAGCACTCAAGGCCGCCGGACACCATCTGCTACGGCCTGTTGTGGAGGAAAAAGCAGCCCTGGCAGAGCTGAAACACAAGCTGCATCCAGTGGACATGAGGGGTTACGTTCAAAGAAACGTGAAGGAACATCTGCCCCCATCGAAGTAAGTCTCATCCCTGGAGCATCACCTCCAGCTGTCCACATCGCTCACAGCGGCTGGAGGAGAGAAGCTGGTCCAAACGGCCACTACAGTGTTTAGCCAGCTCATATGGGCATCATGGCATCCAACAGACAGAACTGCTCAGCTTCATTCTACAGAGAAAACCGCCCTGGTTACAGGTTACTCATGTGACTGTCTCACTCCCTAAACTCTGGACAGATGGTCATTGTCGTTTATCGTGGCACCGCACCTTTCCAGGTGTCTGTCGGTGGTGAATTTAGAGAAGAGCTACCAGAGACAAGTGAGTAGGAGCTGGACCAGTGACAGTGTGTACCATCAGTAACAGCAGTCAGCAGAGCAGCATCTGTTCAATGTGTAAAACCACCAGACACCACAAGAGGGAGTCGGCTGATCTGGAGCAGCTGGAATGAAAGTGGAAATAACATGACCTGAGATTACAGATTATACAAATATAACACACACACACACACACACACACACACACACACACATGCGCCCACCCACGCACACTAGATCCCACGTGATAGTGAAACAACACAACAGCAGTGTGTAAACTAGAGGCTGTAGAATGACATGGTCAGAGTCTGCCCAGTGGCCGTGTGTGTGTGTGTGTGTGTGTGTCAATAGCTATAGTTCCATAGTGGGCTTGTGGCAGCTCCCCTAACGACAGTCTAGAGATGTAACAGTCCTTGAGGGCGGGACTTTCATTTTATAGCCCCTCTGCATTGCCTCCTGGCTCTCCACCCAGCCCTTACAGCAGTACCGCCCCTAGACGCTGGTGATTGACGCAAGGCAAGCGCTGGGCTTCTGGAGTTTCTCCGGTTGGGTGCTGGCAGGTTCTGGGATGGCGCGGAAGGAGAAGGGGGTGGCGGTGCCGGTGGTGATGCCGAGGTGACCTGGGCTCAGCGCCAGGTTCTGCCGACGGTTGCTCTCCACTATTGAAGAGGTGTTCGACGCCAAGCTCTCCCTTGTTCTGCAGAGACAGTGACACAAAATGAGAAATGGTAGAACCAATTTCTGTTGAGACAAAGGAGAGCGGGAAAACAGGACGACACCCTCTGTGTGACACATTCACATCCGTGACACACCTGATCCCTGACATGACAGAGGAATAAGCATTACAGGGACGTGGTCGACATGGCGCAGGGGTACAGAGAGAGCCGAGAACTGCAAGGTTGGCGGTTCGAGCCCCGGCTGCTCCCCATGTCCCAGCTGCCCCATGTCGAAGTGTCCCTGAGCAAGGCACCTAACCCCTAATTGCTCCATGGGTTAAAAATGCAATGTTATCTTAGGATAAGGAGGGGAGGACCTCATAAGGAGAAAGTTCTCAATATGTGTACATCTGACACCAGAGTTCCATCCTGATGAGAGGCAGCTGGTACCTACAGTCCTGTCTATCAGCCACCTGTTCCCAACTCTTGGCTCTTCCTCACTTTGTGGAAAACAAGTGTTAATGTGATTTGGACTTCCTGGACCACCTCTGATAAAGTACAGAGTTCAATGGAAGGATCGTGGGGAACAGGGCAGAGCTGTCTCTCAGAGCAGACTATGGACACTAAAGTACGCTCCAAGCACATTACCACTTTATTATTGAATATGAGTTAACTTTTTTCTCAAAAAATTCTCAGATTATGATCTTTTCTCTGCCAGGGGAAACTATCAATCACACAACCCGATGTCTTCCCCTCTCGCCCTTTAATTCCGCTGGTGGTTCCTGCTTGTTCTCACCATCTATTTTGTATTTATGTTTACAGCGCTTCATTTTTTCCACATTTTGTTATGTTACGTGCAACTTCTAAGGCCAGGGTCAGTGTGTTACTATGGCGACACAGCCACGGCAGTGTGTGTGTGTGTGTCAGGGCGTGAGGGTGCACACAAGATCGTGTGTGTGTGTGTGTTTCATTTCCCCCCCAAATTCTACATGATGAAAGTGAAAACTTTCTAATTATTAAAAAATAAACATAAAATAAGTATTCACAGCCTTTGCTGAATACTTTGTTAAAGCACCTTTGGCAGCAATTACAGCCTCAAGTCTTCCTGAGTAGGCGCTACTAGCTCGGCACACCTATATCTGGGCAGTTTCTCCCATACATCCCCACAGCATGATGCTGCCACCACCACGCTTCACTGCAGGGATGGTGTTGGCCAGGTGATGAGCAGTGCCTGGTTTCCACCAGACACGACGCCAGTGAGTTCAATTTTTGTTACATCAGACCATAACATTTTGTTTCTCGTGGCCCGAGAGTCCGTCAGGAGCCTTTTGGCAAACTCCAGGAGGGCTGTCATGTGCTTTTTGGCGAGGAGTGTCTTCCGTCTGGCCCCTCTACATCACAGGCCTGAGTGTTGCAGGGATGCTTGTCCTTCTGGAAGGTTCTCCTCTCCCCATGGAGCAATGCTGGAGCTCTGTCAGTGACCAACAGATCCTGGTGGTTATAAACTTCCATTTGTGCCTCATAGGCCACTGTGCTCATTGGGACCTTCTGTACCCTTTGAAAGAGCTGTGCCTCGATTCAAATTCTATCTCAGAGTCTAGAGACAATTCCTTGGACGTCAAGGCTGAGTTTGTGCTCCGACATTCACTGTCAACTGTGGGACCTGATAGACAGGTGTGTGTCTTTCTAAATCACGCCCAATCAACTGAATATAGCAGCATGGACTCTGCTCAAGTTGTAAAAACATCTCAAGGATGATCAGTGGAAGCAGGATGCACCTGAGCTACATTTTTCATGAGTGTCATGTCAAAGGCTGTGAATACTTATGTTCATGTTATATCTTTCTCTGTTCTTTATTTTTAATAGATTTGCACGGTTCACATCATGAATCAGAATCAGAATTGAGGAAAAAATGAATTTAATCCATTTGGAATAAGGCTATAACATAACAAAATGTGGAAAAGGTGAAGCGCTGTGAACACTTTGATTCACGTACATTACTGACTGACTTTGGGTGAGTCTGCTGCTGCTCGACACTAAACTCGTACAACAGCTACACACTTAAATGCTTGAGCTTATCATCCACAGTGAGGAGAATTCCAAACAAGCAGAAAAACACAGGACTTTTCCCACAGAGGTATGTTTGTATGGTATCAGCTACAACACGGAATCTCAGAGCGGACAACAATAATTACTTTTCCTTTTTTACCACAATGTCAGCAGCTGCAAAGACAAAATATTATATTGCTTGTAAAATAAAAAGCTATTTTGGAACACTTCTTTACACACTTCTTCCCTGGCTACCGGTGGCTGCCCGCATCCAGTTCAAAACATTGGTGCTCACGTACCATGCTGTGAATGGATCGGGTCCAGCCTACATCCAGGACATGGTCAAACCCTACATTCCGACCCGTACTCTCCGCTCTTCATCTGATAAACTGCTCGTCCCTCCCTCACTGAGAGCAAAACACTCGACTAGATCACGACTCTTTGCTGTCCTTTCTCCGAAATGGTGGAACGAGCTCTCTGAAGACACCAGGACCGCAGAGAGCCTTCACACCTTCCGCCGCAAAGACACACCTCTTCAGACTCTACTTTGACTAAAAGAAAGAAATTGTAGCACTGAAATTGTACTTGTAACGTCACTCATCTATAGCAAATTGTAAATTGGCTTATTTGAGGAAATTGCACTTTCTTGTTTCTTGTTCTTCTGAGTTTGTACCCCAATGGTTGAATGCACTTATTGTAAGTCGCTTTGGATAAAAGCGTCCGCTAAATGACATGTAATGTAACATGTCATTGCTAATATAAAAACAGCTGTTCACGACAATTATTAACCGAGTGAATCATTTCTAAAATGAGTTACTTACCAATGTTCAAAACTAATCCATATCAGATCAAACAAAGTTATAAAAAAAATATGAATTGGAAGTCCCATTTTGAAACAATAATGCATTTCACCAATGCAGTGAGCAAGACATATCAAGCAGAGCAGACCTGAAGAACGCAAAGAGCACCAGTGGGATCAGGACACACCCCCCAGAAGTGCTTTCATGTTCTTCTAAACAGGTTTAAATTAGGTTTCAGATTCAATAAAATCATATTTAATGATAACACAGGACGATGAGCGATGGACCCATCCACATAACGTTTGTTGCAAATCTATTGAGGACGTTTTCTTCACAAGAGCACAGAGAAGGACGTGACTTCAGAACTTTTAGTTGTAAATGTCACCTGCAATCTCCCCCACTCTGGTGTGCCAGTGGGGCTGCAAACCAAAGAGCTTTTAAACTAAAGAGGAAGTTATGGAAACCCGGCCGGCCTTCACAGTGGACACATGGAGAATGTGCCTATATTTAATGCATGCAACGAGTGAATACATGTTCTCACCGTGGGGAGTTGAATCCACTGTCAACAGTGACTGAGCTGGAGTCCATGCTATCAAGTCTAGCAGAGTGGGCTGACTGCTGGTTCTGACTGGGCTCTGGAAGGTTCTCTTTAGCACCAGGGAAGGTGAGGGTTCTTTCGAACCTCCTCTGAAGATCCCTCTCTTTCTCTCGCTCCAACAGCCACTGCATCGTACCTGCTCCCCCTCCTCCCATCCCAACAACACCTCCTCCAGCCTTCTCATCCTCTCCTCGACTCTTGCTACCCCCCTCTTCGAGCTCATCGTCGTCCGAGACGTTGTAGTAGTCAAAGGAGGCCTCTGCAGCACTGCCAGCCGGTTCAATGCCCTGTAGGGGAACGGACGGAGTGGCCACTAGAGGTTTGGGAGCATCGAAGGCTTCCTGCGAATCAAGTGCATCGCAGGACGAGGACAGAGTAGGGGAGGCGAGGGCTTGGGGTTTCCTCAGCGAGCTGTATCCTGGCAACGGGAGGCTGGGAGGAGGTTTGAAGAGTGTGTCTTTACTAAAGATCTCCTTACGTTTCTCCTGACCAGAGGAGGCACTGTGGGGAGGTCTTCCATTAGCAAGGGGGGGGTCAGGAATAGAGAGGGGTATTGGAGGCAGGCTGCCTCCCTTGGGTCCCATCTTTGACAAGTCCTCCTTACTTTCTAGAGGATGGGGTGTCTGCCTGTCCATTTGCCTGTCAGCGCTGCCTAGTTTTAATCCGTCATGGCTACTTTTGACGAGACTCCCCAGTGGGTTAGCTGTGAGAGCAGCCTCAGAAGAGCCAGCGCACTGAAAGTAATCATCAGGAGGGACGGCGCTGGGTAGGGGTTTGGGTGAGTATGCAGGCAGGCTGTCCCTACTCCTACTCTTCTCTAGACTCCTGCCGCCATCCAACCCCAGAGAATCCACAGGCAGTTTAGCTGAAGTGGGGGTGGCACGAGAATAGAGAGAAGAGCACTGATTGGCTCGCAGGGTGCCATCGTCGGTATAGTAGCGGCTCCGCTCGTCGTAATAGTCGGGGGGTCCGATCATCCCCGCTCCAAGTGGTCCTTTGGAATTGTCCATGGACCTGGAGCGTTCCTTGGCCTTGTCGCTGCGCTCGTTCCTGGACTTCCTCTCCTGGGTGTGGGAGTGCGAGCGGTGGACTTTGGAGTGGTGGGCTGATGGCCCATGGCTTGGCTCGGGGAAAGGCATTTCTGTGCGCCGCTTGGCGAGCTCTCCGGACACATCCCACTCTGGCGTGACCGGTAGGTGGGAGGAGTCGAGGATGTTGGGGTTGCTATGTGCCAGGTGAAGGCGGGCCCGTTGCCGCTCCATGGCCAGGGCCTGTTCCCTTGGGGAGCGAGCCAGTGAGGACGAGTATGCTCTGTAGTCCCTATCGGCCAACTCCAGGTGGGAACCGTCGGCGGGCTCGCCGCGGGGCACTCTCGTCTTGCTATGTGAGCGGCTGAGTTTGGTCTGAGACTGCTTCCTGTGTCTACCCCCGCTTCTCCTGCTCCTGGAGCTCTGATTGGCTGACGATGCTTTGCTCCTCTGTGCACGCTCCTCCTCGAGGCGCTTCATGACCGCTGTGTGCCGGGCAAGGTTCTCCACAGTGAGGTCAGGGTTGATTCGGCGGATGATCTCCATCTCTACATTGCGTGGCAGCTGGCTGGGCACCTCCTCGTCGCGGAGCGGCCACTCCTCTGGGGGGAACTGTGCCGAGAAAGTGGCCAGCTGCTTGGCCTTGTCCTTTTTAAAGCTCAGACGGAACAGCTTCAAACCAAATTTCCGACTTCCTGTACCACTTCCTCCACCTGCCTGTTTCTCTACCTCTCCAGTTCCGCCTCCTCCTCCAGTTCGGTGTTTGGTCAGCGTGTCCGTCTTGAAGGGGAACCCAAGGGTGCTGCGACTCTTTTCCGTGTTGCCTGACGCTTGCTGCGTTTGTGGGGACGAGTACGCCTCCCGGTGGTCTTTGGGGGATCGACGCTGGAGGGTGGTGTGGTGGCTAGGGGGGTCGTCTCCACGGTAACTGTTGTTGAAAAAAGAATCCCCACCACCTCCACTGTGGTTTTGGCTGGACTTTGGGTGTGTTCGGTCACGCGCAGCTCCAGAGGTGGACGGGGTGATGGTGCCGGAGAGGGGGGAGGTGCATTGAGTCTGTTGATGCTGCTGTTGGTTCTGATTCTGCTGCGGCTGTTGGTGGTGTCGGTCAGCAGAACGTTCGTCTAAGTGGTACCACTTGGAGCTGGTTCGGATTAGGCTCGGGGTGATAAAGTAAGTCTGAGGGGTTACAATAAAATATCCGTCTGGCTTTGGGTAGATCTTCCGCTCACGGACCAGCATGCTCAGCGTGTGGTGCAGAACCTCCTCCGTTGGTGTGGGAACGCCTGAACCAAATCAGAGACAACAAGTAGTTAAAGCAGATACATTTTCCATGGATCCATATTATATAAGTAATCGAAAAACAGTATCCATAATGGAGGAATGAGTAAAAACAGAGGAGACTTTTCTTCACGTAACCAACATCAACTGGCCCCTACAGGTCCTCTGAACAAAATGACCTTTTGGGCTTTTTTTTTTAATCTCTTTTGTTGAACAATAGTGTAGAAAGCTATTCCACACTTAGTTTTGTTTATTAGACAGACCTAAATAAATCATGGAATATTATTTTCATGAGTGTGCAGTCACAGAAACCTCCCTACAGTTTATAAAAACATGAGGATCAAGCATCAACAGTAAGGATTGCCAGTTTGTTGCTGTGTTTTCTGTGTTACCTGTACAACATTCCATGACCTCGATACAGGTCACTTTTTCACAATCCAGCTGACATAACTGCGTCGCCGCATCCAAATAGAACTCCAATATATGGTGACTAAAATTGGAACAATAAATTTAGCAACCACAACCTGATGCCTGGTTTGCAGTATGGCAACAACTTTTAACTTTTAAAAGTTGAGCCCTGAAAAGAATGTTGTAACCAGATGAACAGAAAGGCCTGATTGAAGCTTGCAGCCCTGCACCCACCCATTATGCTTCAAACAGTGTTTTTCCAACTTTATAAAACCGCAAGGAGGATAAAAAGTTCGAACTTCTCCCCTTTCAGTGTCCACCCTCCTGGCACTTTGACAAGTGCAACAGCAGGAATGCCTTTGGGCGACGGTTTATAGCCATTGAACACACTAGTGGGTTTTAGGTGGTCACTACCGACAATCTTCATCTTTCTTTCAAATGGGATACCTGTTTTTTCTCTTCTCTTTCTCATGTATCCTCTCCGCTTTCTCTTCATTTTTTGTGCTCTCCTCCATCCCGCTCTCTTCTCAATCTCTGCCGCTCTCTCTCCAACTGTCAGTCTCAAGATATTACTGCCGGTTACATCATAGCAGCCTTTCAGCCCAGCCAGAGTGATGCAACTTCATGCAGACAGACGGTGTGTGCACACACTGTCTGTCCCTCCTCTTTCCTTTCATGTTGCTGATGAGAAGGCTGAGCAGAGGGAAGGAGGTGGACAGAAGTTGCTGTTCTGGATTCAGGATGGACTAATCTCAACACTGTTCCAGAACAATCCAAATGGGCCTTATTACATGGCAGAATGAATCAGGAGAACTTGCACCGGGGGTCTTCTAATCCATCTGAGAGGTCAGGTCTACTACTCACAGACTGGTCCAGAGCCAAGCTACAGACGGGGCCCACTAGCTCCTGGTTCAGACTCCAACCACAACCAAACCAACCGTTGGGCCACCATCCCCCTGTAGCTTCCTGTTCTGGTGTCCGATTCTCTACCGCCTGCTTTCCAACGCCCCTTTTACGCTCCATTAGTATGGCTGGACAGGAAGAAACTTTACAATCTTCAACTAGGCACACAGAACCTGAATTATCATTCACAAACTAACCCTGGCTCAGAAGCTTCATTTAGAAAGGGGACAGATTATGAGAATTCAACTTTAGTGCTTCTACCGACTCCAAAACTCTGGGGGATAAAAAAAAAAAAAGAACTCCTGCGTTTGTTATGGTTCTTGTACGTGACAAACGTCATGCTTGAGTGACTGCGAACGAGCTTCCTTATCATGCTCTCGTCACAATGACATGAGAGTCTCTCTTACACGGCCATAAAAGCAGGAACCCTTTTATTCTTGTTCAGGAGCACAGTGAGAAGACCCCCCTCCCCACGCTATCTCTATAAGCTGTAACATTAAGACTAGTTTATCTGCAGCCCGCCAGCCTGCGATTGGTCCGCTAACTACGTCCATTCCAGAGTCTCACATTTCCCTTTTCATAGCACAATACCGCCATTATTAAAACAAGATTTTCTACGAGAGAATGAATAAGATTGAAGCGCATTAGTTGGAAAACATCCGTAATGTAGCGCAGGGGTAGGGAGGGTGCCCTGGGAACCGCAAGGTTGGTGGTTCGAATCCCAGCTGCCCCATGTCGAAGTGTCTCTGAGCAAGACACCTTACCCAGTGCTCCCCGGGCAAAAATGTATTGCAAGTCGCTTTGGATAAACGCATCAGCTACATGACCTGTAATGTAATGTAAATATGACCACTTAGTCGTCACTGGCGGACTATAAGGCCTCTGATTCACGGAGGGAGATCTTCGCAAACATCGGTTGCAGGTCGAGGGGAACAAAGTTGTGGAGGAAAATACAGGACAAATGTGATGAAAAGCAGCAGTTGCGCTGCACGGGGCAATAAAGTCTATGATAAATAAATAAACAAACCAACGACTTCCACACACAAAGACGTTACTCTGTTCTGGCGGTGAATTGCTCTGCAACACACACAAGCCTTTTTGAACCTTGAATTGAAACAAGTGCGTTAACACAACAGTGCGTAAAGACGCAGACGCCAGCCTCAATTAACTGGAACTCTACCTGACCAGCCCACAATATGGGAACACCCGCCTACCCTGATCTCCCCCAATCACTGCCTAGCATGTACAGTGACTCCCCGTGATTGGCTGGAGTGAGGGGATCACGTGACACACACACACACTCCTGAACAGGGCCCCTACAATACAATATTGGCCAAAGCACTTCACTTGGTTTTTGCAAACCTCGGATACACTTGGAATAGCTAGCGAGCAGCACGAAGCATAGGAAGCCTTGAAGATGCGCCGTGGTGGGCTGCACAGAGCCCCTCATCAGCATTCAAAGGAACAGCCACTCAAAACAGGTCGCTCTGTGGAGGGCTGTTTTAGACAGGGTAAAGAGGCTTGTTTTAAATGATCCTTGTGGTATTTTGACCAAAGTATGTTACAGACATTTCATTAAGACCCCAAGGAACCATATCAACCTGTGGTAAAATGGGGGCAGAAGAAGAGAGGGGGGCATTATCAACTCACTGCTCTGCGAAGGGGCATGTTGAGTTCAGCTGAGTTCGGCCTGAATGAGAAACTCAATTTTTTAGCTGTTTAAGTAAAAAGTATTTTTCTTAAGAGGACTCCCAGTGGTCAAATAAGAGCATCAGTCTCTGCCCCCCATCTCACACCCCTATGATCAGTATGTATATGATGAAAAATGTTGAACCATTGCTTTGAAGCGACTGAGAATGTTACAGTTGTATTTATCAGGTTACTAATAATGAAGAACAGACTTGATTCAAGCATGAAGATGGCTGGGTGACAGAAATGAGAACAGGTTTGCTCCATTCAGTGTTTGAGTGATCACATCAGTACAAACCCACACCCATGAGGGCAAAAAGATGCTTAAAAATAGTGTTTGCGGAGATGACTGAGCCACAAATTGACACTTTAAAAACGGGTGATCGACTGCATAGCAGCTGGGCAGACAGCTGTGTGTGTGTGTGTGTGTTGCCTGTCATTACATCATACAAGGGCAGTTACGTTGGTGACATGACGCAAGCTCTCTAAAGAGGGAAACCTGCAATGTAAAAAGACCATGCAACATGACAAAAAACATTCACTGCCCGTTCAAATACGAGGCAAATAATGAAAGGAAATGTAGAACTAGAATAATAACTAACTAGTCAGATGATTGAAGATGAATTGGCAACAACTTTGATACCTTGTCTCTGTTCTAGCTTCACAAATTGGAGGATTTGCTGCTTCTCTCTATTTTCGTAAATGTTTTGGTTTCAACAATATTTATGTTATTGTTTTATCCAATAAACTGAAAACATATGGCATTTTAGACGCAGACTCAGCGGATATTCCATTGATTCATGAACCAGATTTTTGGTAAAGAGCATCTGGCATTTAACAGTAACTGACTAACACAGAGTATATGGAGGTCCCTGCAGATTTCTCTCCCAGTGCGTCATCACAATAACAGATAGTAAGAGAAAAACAGCGTAGCAGACTTTGTGTTGCAACTTCCAAATTGGTCTCCAGTCAGGTTTCTTCTGCCTGGACATCAAATCGAATCAAACCGCCAATCCTCCTACAAAGGAGCTGGTCCTCATTGTAGAGGTTTAAGGAATAGTTAAACATCTTCAGAAACTCACTTTACTTTTTCTGAGACTAAAATGATTCCCCGGCCATTATATGAGGGGCCGTGTTTCCTGGTAGATCAATTAGCCAAGCATCATCTCTGTCATATGTACATCTTTTACAATATTTGTTCTGTACACATGACATCCATTCGCGAGGAGCGAGGAGTAGAGCCGCTGCTCCTTTGCGTCGAAAGGAGCCAGTTGAGGTGGTTTGGGCATCTGGTGAGGATGCCCCCTGGGCGCCTCCCTAGGGAGGTGTTTCAGGCACGGCCAGCTGGGAAGAGGCCCCGGAGAAGACCCAGGACTAGGTGGAGAGATTATATCTCTGCACTGGCCTGGGAACGCCTTGGGATCCCCCAGTCAGAGCTGGTAGATGTGGCCCGGGAAAGGGAAGTTTGGGGTCCCCTGCTGGAGCTGTTGCCCCCGCGACCCGACCCCGGATAAGCGGTTGAAGATGGATGGATGGATGGATGGACACATGACATCCATTCAATTCTATCCATCCCGAGAGAGGGATCCTCCTCCAGGTTTCTTCCTGTTTTTTATTTTTCCTTTTCCTGTGCCAGTGTGAGGGTTTCAGGACTGCGGATGCGTGTGTTCAGACTGTAAAGCCCTCTGAGGTAAATTGGTCATTTGTACTTTTACAAGATCAAATGAATTGAAACAGTCCAAAACAATGAAAATACCACAACTAATAACTGACACAACCGGTGGGTTGTAGAGCGTCATTCACACAAAATCAATAACAATACAGCAACATATGCAGGCAACAAACTCAAAGTTGCCGTATAAGACGAGTCATGTGACCCTGCCAAAAACAACCCATCAAACGGTCTGTCCCGGTAGCCACAGCCGAGAGGTGGCCAGGTACAGCTGTGTGTGTATCGCATGAATGAATTGGAGAGGAAAAGTAATTTAACGATTTGCAGAAGAAATTCACTGAGTGCTAAATAAAATGGCAACTCTAGATAGTTGCTATGGGGAAAACTCACGTTGAGAACTGTGCTTGCGCTTTATTTTTTGTATGGGGAACAATGCTTTGGTCGCTTGTGCTGTTTTCCAACACCGGTTACTGGCATTACATCCAGCAATCCTCAATTCCTCTACAGTGGCAAGGCAACGCTACTGTGTCCCGTTGGTTTATGCGCCGGTTAGCCCGCTGCAACAGGAAGCCGCTTTAGTTTCAACTTCCGTTGCTGCTAAAACCCAAAATCTGTTTACACAGACGTCAGTCCGCTAGCACAGGGAAACCGATTTAGTTTGTACACAAGTTAGCCGTTAATATCTGTACTGTTTCTGTTATCCCACTGTGGTTTGGCTCGGCTGCAGGGGGGGACTGAGAAGGGAGTGGTTCAGGGAACGGTGCCGGGGGAGGCAATTGGCCTCAGCTGATGTTAATCAGGACTCTGCTGTTAAGTAGGAGAGAGCCGGCGACAGCGGGAGAGCGGGGCGAGGAGGCTGGAGCCGGTGTTGTGTGTGTGGAAATATAAATAAAACCATTTACAATGGACCCGACTGCCTCGTGCCCGTCATTTCAAGACCCCCCCAGAGGACCGACGTGTTACACCCACCTACTGCAACAAAGGGGGTCAATGATAAACACCACCGAAGAGTAAGCAATCAGATGACATTCAGAGACGGTATTAAACAAGAAGCTAAAGGAAGTTAGAAAAATTGTGAGTTACAGCAATTACTGACTAATATTTTAGTTGCAAAATATTAGCAGTAAAATGAACCGGAAATGTATAATTGAAAAGATGTTGGCTTTTTATACCAGCTGCACACAAAAATGATATTTATCTCCTTTGAACATATAACTGAGTAGCAGCACACTATTGACAGTCAGCTGTCGACATGTGTAAGTGTGTGAGCTGGAGTTACCGGGAAAGCATGTCTGCAGATGTTCAGTCAGGGCCTCCTGAGTGACAGGCTTGTGGGCGGAGTTCATAGCAGAGATAGCCAATAGCAATACCTCTCCCAAAGGGATGAATTGCGATTGGCTGATGGGGGACATACTGATGGGTGACACATCACCTGTGAAAAGACAGAAATGACAGAAATCAGTCTTGCTGAGGGATGCTGGTTAAACATGTGTTTTAACCGGGACGTGTGGGATGTGTGGGACATATTGACACTGTGCAGTCTCGTCTCTAAGATCGACCTCACATTAAAAAATAAAGCACTGGCTGTCCTCGTCGTCTGGCCGAGGACCGTCTTTCTCTTCCATCATTTTCTGTCATCTCTCTACTACTGGTTATCCAATAAATATGATAAAGCACTGTGTTGGTCTGGCTTCTCTTAACATCTGTGTTCTGAATATAGAGCCAAACTATCATTCAGGGTGTTATGTTGTTTTTACTGGCTGAAACAGTGTCACCAACACAAGACAATCTTGTCTTGCAACGTGTGTGTCCCTTTGGCTTCACAAAGTACAAACACAGTAGATATAAACGACTGCAAAATATTCCACGAGCTACGAGCTGACGAACCCCTACAACCACTACTAGTACTACAATACCTGCTCACAAATGACACTGCGGTTACGTGTCAGCAGGTCACTCACCACACTGACCAAAGGCAGCTGGCTCACATGCACAGAGACTCAGTGCAAAGTGGAACATCAGCTGCTGGGTTTTAATGGTGGTTCCAGATCCAGTCACGCAGACATAAAGTTTGAGCTAAAGGTGTTTTTTTTGTGGCTTTTAGTCCCACTCAATCCATAACTACTAAACGGTCCTAAAAACAGAGGGGGCAGAGAGAGAGCTAGTCAGGAGAGGAGGGGGAGAAAACGATATGGAGGGCAGAGGGGGAGAGAAAGACTGCAGAGCAGCGGTGTGAATCCAGAGAAATAGAGGGAGCACGATGGAACATTGATCGTCCATGTCTCCCTCACTGCAGTGGTAGTAAACAATCAGCCAGCCTCCTTTGTCCACAACCCGAAACCACACCCCCTCCTTTTGTCATGCACTCCCTCTCTCGGCCTTCATTTGGCCCTCCCTCCATTTCTCTGGCTTTCTGTATCCCTCCAGTGTCCATCTCTCCTACAATATGTCCGCATCCATTATTCTATCCCGCTCTCTCTTTCTCTCTCGCTCGCTCTCGTTGCGACGCTTTGCTGCTAATGCTAACTAGCAGCTGCTGCTGCTGCTAACAGGCTAGCCAATGGGGCAGAGTGGGACAGACCAGGAGACAGTGAGACAGACAGATAGCACGTGACAGGCAGAGTCAAACCTTGGCTGATAGCGATCCAGTCCTTTGGAACAAATATAGAATCCGGTTAGAAAGCCGAGCAGAGCTTCTGATGGCAGCACAGCTCTCTACGCGCACTAGCTCATCCTTCTCTCTCTCACACACACATTCTGCTCCTCCCCCTCTCCTCTCGCGTGCGCGCGCGCAAACACACACACACACACACGTCGCCGTCCTCCTCCTCTTGTCTCTCACACACACACAAATGAGCATTCAGTCAAGGGCTTCCCACAATCCCTTGCGCCACACAAAGACAAGGGGGTGTGACCAATCACAAACCGCCTCACTCCTCACCCGTGCTTTCTCTCCCCTCCCTCACTGTGTGATGCCCACAGACATACAAGCTTGTGGGCGGGCTGCCAAGAGGGTTGTCATGACAACGCATCCCCAGTCGCTCTTTGTGGCTTTGCATCACACACACAGGCAGGCACACACACACAAAGTCTCCACAGTCTCTCCCCTTTCAAGATTTCAGTAGCAGTCTCTGCTCTGTTACGAACATCTTTGTTACACTCCCTGTGTGTGTGTGTGTGTGTGTGTGTGTGTGTGTGTGTGTGTGTGTTTGCGCATATACACACACACATGCTCTTTTAGCCGGTGTTGCAGTACTGCAGCTGGGTTTTGTGTGACCCAGTTAGAACACTATAGCTGGATGTAGGACGCGCGCACACACACACACACACACACACACACACACACACAGAAACGATTACTAAATATAGCAGTAGAGTTCTAGAACATTATCATTACAAGGAAGTTGAAAAGTAGTTATATAGTTATACACACACATCCATATGCGGACTTCATCCATCTATATATTTACGAAGGTATACATTTATACACACACACACACACACACACACACACACACACACACACACTATATATACATATATATATACATATATACATACATATATACATATATATATACATATATATACATATATCAGCCAATCACATAGCCGCAACTCAGTGCATTTAAGCATGGAGACGTGGTCAAGACAACTTGCAAGTTCAAAGCATCAGAATGGGGGAGAAAGTGACTTTGTGGCATGGTTGTTGGTGGCAGACGGGTTAGTCTGGTATATCAGAAACTGCTTATCTACTGGGATTTTCACGCACAACCATCTCTAGGGTTTACAGAGAAGGGTCCAGAAAATATCCAGTGAGTGGCAGTTGTGTGGACGAAAATGCTTCGTTGATATAAGAGGTTAGAAGAGAATAGGGAGACTTTGAGGCGATAGAACGGCAACAGTAACTCAAATAACCACTCGTTACAACCAAGGAATGCAGAATACCATCTCTGAACGCACTTTGTGTTCCATCCTGCCTTGGATCAACGGTTCTTGGCAGACTTTGGGCCCCTTAGTACGAATTGAGCATTGTTTAAATTCTGCAGCCAACCTGAGTTGTCCATCCCTTTATGACCACAGTTTAGCCATCCGCTGATGGCTACTTCCAGCAGGATAGTGCACCATGTCACGAAGCTCATATCACCTCAAACTGGTTTCTTGACCATTACAACGAGTTCACTGTACTCCAATGGCCTTATCTCAATCCAATAGACCACCTTTGGGATGTGGTGGAACAGGAGATTTGCATCATATGTGCAGCATCTGCGTTATGCCATTATGTCAATATGGACCAAAATCTGTGAGTTTCCAACAGCTTGTTGAAAGTATCCCACAAAAGAATGAAGGCAGTTCTGAAGGCCAAAGGGGGTCCAACCTTTGACTAGCAAGGTACCTAATAAAATGGCCGGTGAGTGTGTATTTGCAGAGAGGGAAAGCGAGTAAGACTGCTCCAGCATTGCCCACAGATTTTGGTCTATAACAGACTTGGAAATATTAATGATATATATATTCATTTTGAGCAAGATAACATTCACAATGGCCAAAACACCACGTCAATGAAGGCATGACAGCAATCTACATTACATTACATTACATGTCATTTAGCAGACGCTTTTATCCAAAGCGACTTACATTACACTTTAAACCCATGGCTTTTTCACATTTTGCCCGGGGAGCAATTAGGGGTTAGGTGTCTTGCTCAGGGACACTTCGACATGGAACATGGGGCAGCCTGGACTCGAACCACCAACCCAGCACACCTTCTCTAACCCCTGCGCCACGACGACCCCCATTTACATATTTTAAATGAGAACGTTTTATTGTTGGCAGTGATGTCCTTCCGCCACTACAATAAAACGAGGACTATTAGTCTCAATGAGACACCTACCACAAACCGCATTTTTTAATACATGTTAAAATACAGTGGGAATTTTGAAGCTTTATGTTGTGGAACAAAATGCTAAAATCTCTTTAGCTTGTGCTAACAACATACTGCATTTCAGGCCTCTAGTTTAATGGGATTTGTAGTCCAACATCACAAATCACAGATTTGCCTCAGAGGGCTTTACAATGTCTGCCATGTTGTTCACCAAGACAACTCTAGTGTGTAACTTGCTGGGTTTATGCTAAGCTAGGCTAACCATGCCATGTCTCCAGCTCTGGGCTAAAAGTCATAACCCCTAAGATTTTCATTCGGGTTTCATTTTATTTGAGTGAATCCCAACATCTCACTTTAAAAAAATAAAATAGGCCAATGGGCCACAACAATAGAATCAGAGACTACATCTTTAAGTGAATTAGGACGTTGAGAAGAGTGAAGTGCCACAAAACAGAGACAGATTCAGCAGGCTGAGGGAATCACAGTGGTGTATTGAGTGTCATTAGAAGGCCGGCCAGGCACGTCTGTGGTAATCTGGAAGTGATTAGCATGTGAAAGGACTGCTCTGATGGTCGAGCTGGTTGGGACGGGGTGTAGTGGAGGGGGGAAAACAGTTCACATGGGAGGTGGCGAAGGGCGGGGGCACTCACCCCTTTTCTTTTAAGGGGCCCCTGATTTGCACCTTGCACAACACCCATTGCAGTTCAAATAGTAAATTAAGCATTCACACACAGTAGAGCAAAGAAAAATGTCAACCAAATGAGTATGTATATATATTAGTGCGATTTTAAATCTAATTTTATTGTAATTATTACATTTTGCGATACATTGAGAAATCTACTCCGTAAAATGTCTGTCATAAAAAAAAGGTTACAACAGGCAACTATCAAGGAACAAGTTAACATGCATCAATTTTTCTTTTTTTTTTGTAAAGTGAGTCAATAATGATCGTAACATTACAGGTCATTTAGCTGATTTAGCTTTTATCCAAAGCGACCTACATTGCATTTTAACCCATAGCTTTTACATTTTTGCCCAGGAGCAATTAGGGGTTACGTGTCTTGCTTAGGGACACTTCGACATGGGGCAGCCTGGACTCGAACCACCAACCTTGCGGTTCCGAGCTCTAGGGTTCTCAAGAAGCAGTACATGTCAGGACTTATGACCTCAGGGGGATTCAAGTGAGGGGAACAAACTGGATGGCAAATGGCATCGCATAAGAGCAGTTTTTTCTTATTTAAAAACACGAGTAGTCGAAAGAGATTTAAAATGAAAATGTCAGACTGACGGGGACAATATATATATATATACTGTATATGTATACATATATACACACACACGTGTATTAGGGCTGTTAGTATAATCAGTATATTCTTTTTAATCTATTGATACAAAATGTGATTAATCTCACATTTTGAAATACATTAATCGTGATTAAAAGTTGGTTTTTCTTCAAAAGATTAAGTCTTATAAATTAACGAAAAATCCATTTAAAATAGTGTCTGAAAATACACTTTCTAAACACAAAACTCCTCACATTTGATCATCTT